TTCAGTTGGTGGCTGTTGATATTTCACTTAACCTGTGTCACATGTCTCTGTGTTTTAAAAAGTGCACAGTAATAGTAACTGATTCAGGGTTGCAAGGAAGACTAATGACGTAATGATTCTTTTGTTTCAAGTTTTAGCTGGCCCTAACCTTATGTAAGTTTATTACTAGAAAGTGGGGCTCTAATTATGAACTTGTGAAACTATTTAAATAAAGCACTGTAAAATATTTTGACGTAATGATTCTTTTGTTTCAAGTTTTAGCTGGCCCTAACCTTATGTAAGTTTATTACTAGTAAGTGGGGCTCTAATTATGAACTTGTGAAACTATTTAAATAAAGCACTGTAAAATATTTTATAAGCTCTGAGCCATAATTCCAAAGTAGTAGTTGAGATTTCTAATAATTATTGAGAAATCATAGAGGACTGTAGATTTTCATACATTTGTATGTTATGGAATGCTACTGATTTTAAAAGTAAGTATGTTCTAGATTTATGTTTTATTGGCTGTGTTACCATGGGCAGTTTACTTAACCTTCCTTTTCCCCATTTTCCTCATATATAAAACAAGGGTAATAACAGTACTTACTGCATTGAGTTTTTGTTAATACTAAAGGAGATTATGTATGTTAAATGTATCAGTACCTGATACATAGTAAGCACACAGTAAGTATTATGTTTATTACTACTGTTAATAGTAATATTAATAAGAAAACTCAATAGTATAGCAACATAGGACATATCATAGGTCCAGAAAACAGTTTAAATGATGAGAAATTATAAATTAGATTTCACAATATATTTAATATGGTCACACTTTATTTCAAGGGACACACAGTTCTTTGAGCTGTGGGTCATTTAACAAGTGGTTTGAAATGTTGATAGCTTACAATAAACTTCATTTGATTTTATGCTCTGATTTAAAAAATGGATGGGTATGTGCTAGTGGAGAAGTGTAAAATGTTTCCTTGTCTGGTCAAATAGAGAGCATTAGTATCAATTCCAGCCTATGTATAGACACCAGCATCAATATTGTACTTGATATTAGGAAAGTCAAAGGCAACTTATCTGTCTTTGAATTGCTTCTGTTGTACACCGCAGTTACTATTCCCCCTACCCTGAAGTTCTGTCCTGATAAACTCTTTTGTTTTTTCCTCAGTATAGTCCTTTCTTTTATCTCCCTCCCTCTCTTTCTTTTTTTCATTTCCCTCTTCCGTGATTCTTCCTTTCTTCATCCTAATCCTTTTTTCTTCTTTCCATGAATATCCATGAGCATTTGTAAAGGCAGAATGCATTGCTCAACCGTGTTCTCAGTCTCGATGGTGGTGATTATATTTAATGGTGAGCTGGTGGGAAGGGGCTTAGACTTTTATGGGCAATGAGTATCCATTTTATCTCATCTTGAATGAGGATAAGACAATAGGGATGTTTCTAAAAGTGAATCTTTTTGGACATAAAAGAAGGATGAATGGGAGGGACAAGAGATTGGAGACTACAAGACTGGGAGACTTTGTGCTTAATTTTGCATTCATGATTAATGTTGTTCTAAGGTGAGAAGGACCTGAATGAGTTTAGAGGCAAGAACATTGTTTGCAAGAGGAGCAATACAAAGAACATTTTGAAGGAGAAATGGCAAAACTTGGTGACTAGAGACAAAGGGTGAAGGAAAGATAGAAGAGCCCAATGGTGGTGTGCAGTTTTGAGTGTGAGATATGGGTATTGGGAGGCTATAACTCACATTAATAGAAATAGGGAAACTGGGGATGGGAGAAGAAAATGATGAATTCACTTTTATATATTTTGAATATGAGGTGCCAGGAGGACATTCAAGTAGAATTTTGGGCTTCTGATTACATTACTGTTTAACAATAATTTTTTAGTAGCTTATATTCATATGAATTATTAATTTTTAACATTCTCCTTGTATTTTAGAATAAATCATGCTTTATAAGAGTTATATTCACTGATGTAGTTTTTAAGTATTTTATGTTCAGCAAGCAAATTATCATTGCATGATGTGCATGATTTTGTAGTTTGGTTTGGTCTAAATTAGTTTTGGGTCATAATACACTTGTTATTAATAAAGGATGAGACATCATCTTAACATTTGACTTGATGGAACATGAATAGAAAGGGAAGCATTGCATAGAAATTTTGTAATTAAATTGGCAAACATGCTTTGAATAATGGCCATTTATGTAGGGTATTTGGAAAAGTCACTTTATCATTTGTTACGTGGCTTAGGTATAAATACCAAAAAAAAGGTAATGAGATTAAATGTTTGGCCTAAAGATAGTAATAGATACTATTTTTGAAAATAATATTTTACTTTTTAAAATTACAGTAACAAAACAAGTACATTGTAATGATTTAAAGGTCAACGAGATGTTAAAGCATTTAACAGTATGTATATGTGTGTGCATGCATGTGTGTGTGCGCGCGCTTAATAGTAGCCATCCTAATGGGTATGGAGTGATATCTCATTGTGGTTTTGATTTGCAGATCTCTAGTGATTAGAGATGGTGAGCATCTTTGGCCATTTTATAACATCTTGAGAGAAATGTTTATTCACGTCTTTGCCTGTTTTTAAATCAGGTCATTTATTTTTCTTTTGTTGAGGTGTAGGAATTTTTATATATTTTCAATATTAACTCCTTACCAAATATATAGTTTGCAAATATTTTCTCCCAATCCATAGGTTGCTCTTTCTCTCTGTTGATTGTGGCCTTTGCACAAGAAGTTTTTGAGTTTAATGTAATTCCATCTGTCTATTTTTGCTTTCGTTGTCATACCCCAAAATCATGTCTAATGTCATGAAGCACTTCCACTATGTTTTCTTCTTGGAGTTTTATAGTTTGGGTTCTTGCTTTTAGGTCTTCAATCTGTTTTGAGTTAGTTTTTGTGTATCGAGTGATCTCCGCACCCTCATCAAAGATCATTTGATCATATACCTGAGGGTTTATTTCTGGGCTCTCTATTGTATTTCATTGGTTTGCACAAGTTGTCTTGCTGTGAACTTATGCAAATTTTTCTATGGACATGTTTTCCTTCTCTTAGATATATGCTGAGGAGTGGAATTGCTGCATCATAGGGCTGAGGCATGTCTAACTTTCCTTAGAAATTGCCAGACAGCTTTTTAAAGTGATTGTACCAACACTTGGTATTATTGGGTTTTTTCTCATTTTAGTCATTCTTATAGACAGAATCACTTTTTTTATTTTTTTTTTGGTCTCTTGGTTGAATTGTTATTGAAGGACTTAAGTTACCTGAAATGTTATGTTTAAATATATTACTCATTTATTTTTTGTCTCTTCCCATGAGAGTGTAAGCTTTATGAGGTGTTATTTTCTCTGCAATTTCTAAATGTTTCCTTACGTAGATTAGGAACTCAGTAAGTGTTTATTTTGAATAAATGAAATGGATGAACAAATAAATCAAAGCATGCGTATTTATCTTTTCCCTGGTATTTCTGAGATTTGTATATATCAGATATATCCAGAATCTCCACTTGGGTCCAATAATTGGTCATGAATATTTTAGTGGTTGAATTACCGTAGGAGAAAGACGTTAGGAAAAAGTTTTAGGGGCCGGCCCGGTGGCGCACTGGATAAGTGCACCGCTTGGGAAGCTCGGCGGCGCTCCCGCCCGAGGGTTCGGATCCCACATACAGACCGGTTCCCGCTCACTGGCTGAGCGAGGCGCGGGAGCAGCGCCGAGGGTTGCGGTTCCGTTGCCGGTCCCCGGTCCGGTACGGGGGAGACACTGAGGGTTGCGATCCGTTGCCGGACACGGAAAAAGACAAAAGACAAAAAAAATAAAAAAAGTTTTAGGACTGTACAGTTTGTCAAATTTCTATAATTTCCCACTGAGATAAATTTTGAAACCTAAGAACATAGTAATATTAAAAGCTGGATGATTTTAGGAGTTAGAAAAAGAAGTTCATCTGTGGACACTTAATGTTTAAATACTTCAGTTTCTTTCTTATAAACATAGCATGGCATTTATATTTTAAATGAAATGAATTGTTTTAATAAAGAAATATAGTTTATGTCTAATCCTTACAGTACAACTAAGTCTTCATTAGTGATTATTTTGATATTGATTATTTGGCTTATGAACTACCCAGGATCTTTTATTTCTTCTCACCTGTTTCCTTTGGTCCATTTTTCTGTTGAAAGTATTACCATCAAACAATTGACAGAAAAATTAGCAAAAGAAGAAAGAGGTAAAGGGGAAGGGAGAGGAACAAAATGAAGGAGAGGAAAGTAGAAGAAGCACCCATGCTGCCTATCAGTTTTTTTCCAGTAGGAAAGAAAATCAAGAATTTAAATATAAAGATGTAAATGCATAGGACTTAATAGTAGTCGCTTTAATAATCTTAAATGTTCAATAATTTTTCATGCTGTATTTATATATAAGCAAACATAATCAGGTATTTTATATAATCAAATATTATAAGGTTTATATCAACATTTGTCTTTCTGGGTTTGAATAGCCACCTATTGTTACATGGCTTAATTTTCTGTTGTTCTTGGTGATTTTCACATGTTATATAAGAAAAGTTTGTTTTGTTTTACATTTTATGAAGTTTCACCTTGCAAAATGTTTTTCCTCTGTAATGAGATTAAATGCCATTGGTGACTTGGGGACCCAGTTTACCTACTGAGAAAAACATAGGGACCCCATGATATTTTTATTATCTACCCAGTGGTTAATAAATGTTTTAGAATAGTCATACCTTTTAAAATAAGACTTAGATACAGTTTTGTTAGTGAAATCTATGGAAATGTGAATGTATTGCAAGCTTTTTATCATTACGAATAGTAATGCTCATGATAATGATATACAATACTGTTTTAAATAATTATTTCTCTTTGTCCTTTTATTGTTCCACATTGGAAGCAGATGTGTAAGTATTAAACATTTTTGGCTATTCTATTTTTTGCAATACTTTTAGTCTCATCCAATTTAATGGCTCTACTTATATTCTTTTTTCCCCCCAGAAAGTCAAATAAAGAAAACTACTTTACGCTTTCATAACTACAGCAACATGAATGAAGATCTTACTATCAAGGAGGAAATAGTTTCAGCATACCCTTCAAAAAATATATCACTGGAAGATGAAAGAAGTCAGTTACATTCCAGGAAAAAACGTTTTTTATCATATCCAAGATACGTGGAAGTTATGGTTACAGCTGATGCAAAAATGGCTCATCATCATGGACAGAATTTGCAGCACTATGTACTAACCCTGATGTCAATTGTAAGTAAACCTAATAGTTTACTTTTATGTTTCCTAAAATGTTTAGCTTAAAGTTTTTTCCACATTTAATAAAAAAAAAAAAGTTTTTCCAAACTCTAGATATTTAGGTTTAAGCCAAAAATAATATTTTATTGAAATTTACTTTAGACATATAGCAGATATCCCATTCTGTTACTTGAACAATTTTCTAAAACATTTTAAAATCTCTAAAACCACTTATAGAAAATGCTTGAATTATCCTTTACCTCATCACATGAGTGACTTCTGCCCTCTAGTGACAGGGAATATCTTAGTCACATTGATTTTTTTTTTGCTCTTTGTATCTGTATTTTAAAACCTCATCCTATATCTGCATAGAGTGGAGGGGATACTATTTTTACAGTGGCCACATGCTCCAAATCAGAAATTGGGACTCATTTTAAGTTATAAGTGTATTTATGGGGATAAAGGGATATGCTACTGCTAATAGAGCTGCTTTAGCAAATTTGGAATATAAGATCACAGTAGCTATAAGAGTTCTTGATCTGATGTTAATATCTCTGTCAAGCAGTGGCGGTGGCAATATGAACAGAATAGAGTTTTAGTGCTAGTGAAGAGCACCAATTCTGTGTTAGTGGCAACACATTATATCGTATGTGCATGTATATGGTTACACATATATGTATATCTCATACTTCCTGGGATATTCCTGAATTTAGGCCTGTTGTTTTGGAGTAATTAATAAAAAGCACCCCCTTTCATCCCCAGAAGTATCCTGGTTTAGTTAAAAAATTATATGGTCACCTGTTTATATAGACTCAAGGTATTTGGAACATGTCTCATGTCTGCAAGTACCTCTATTCACATATAAAGAATTCAGGCAAACTTTGTTGAAAAGAGCTGGCCAGGACACATCTATAGGACATTGTAAATTTCCCTTAGCTAAGATATTTCCAATTATATTCACTGTGACTTGAAGATCCTAACATCCTGTCATTTTCCTTATGTATTACATTTTACCTTAAATTCTTATGATTGTACAATGGTCTGTAGTGCCCAAACACAGTTTGTGGTACAAAGTAGGTGCTCAATAAGTAGATGCTGAAAGAAAGAATGAATGAATATTTGGTTAAAGTAAAAGTAATACTTTTTTCAGAACGCAGTACATTGTGATAAAGAAAAATATAGATGATCCAAAATGATTTACTGAAATTGTGTAATGTAGACACTCATTTTATTTACATGAATTGAATTTTTAAAATGACAACAGTGCTGATAGAGTTTGGATGTGTTGTCCCCTCCAAAACTCATGTGGAAATTTGATCTCCAATGTGGCAGTGTTGGAAACTGATTGAGTCATGGGGGCGGATCCCTCATGGATGGATTAATGCTCTCCCTGGGGGAGGGGGGAGTAATGAGTGAGTTCTCGCTCTATTAGTTCCCGTGAGAGTTCATTGCTTAGAAAAACCCTGGCGCCTTCTTCCTCTCTCTTGCTTACTCTCGCCATGTGATCTGCTTGTACCCACTGGCTGCCTGCTGCTTTCTGCCATGAGTAGAAGCAGCCTGAGGCCTGTGCCAGATGCAGCTGTCCCAGAATCGTAAGCCAAATAAACCTCTTTCCTTTATAAATCACCCAGTCTCAAGTATTTCTGTCATAGCAACACAAAACGGACTAAAACAAGTGCTATGGATAGAAATTTATCCTGGTGACTTTTTTTTTTAAGTTTTTATTTCTGAATTCAAAGTAATTATCTAGATGTGTTGTTATCTAGGCATGTTATTATCAGGATGTATAATTGTCTAGGTGTGGGTATGGCGTACTCATTGTGAAGGGATTCTCATGGGAACTATGATGTGTAGGATGTCAATTGATATGTAAGAAATTTTAGCAATTGTATGGAACACTGGGATGAACTTTGCAATTGAACATGCTTAAAGGAAATGGCATTCATTGAGATAATTGGGTGGGGAGAGATACTGAAGGAAAATATTAGTTTTTATAAATGCAACAGGTTTTGAAGCATGGTAAATGACAGATAAGTAATGTCAGTGACTTGGGAATACTGACTAGAAGGAGAAAAGGAACACAATTGTAATTTTCCAAGAGTAATTCTGGAATGGTGACAGGCACTTTTGGTGACATCATTGTCCTCAGAAAAGTTTTGTTATCTATAAATATCAGTATCATCACTGTTTAGAAGATATTGTGGCATACCTTGAGATAACTGAAGTTGTCCTAGGAGTTTTAAAGCCATAGTTCATTGAGGGCAAAGCAGGCTTTTTTTTTTTTTTTTTTCCTTTTTGTCTTTTTTACTGACCGGTAACGGGATCACAACCCTCTGTGTCGCGCCCGTACCGGGGACCGGCAACGGGATTGCAACCCTCGGTGTTGCGCTCGCACTGCGCTCAGCCAGTGAGCGGGAACCGGTCTCCACATGGGATCCGAACCCTCAGCGGGAGCGCCGCCATGCTCCCAAGCGGCGCACTATCCAGTGCGCCACCGGGCCGGCCCAAAGCAGGCTTTTTGACCTGAAAGTCAGATCTGCATCTGAGATTGCTTGAAACAACAGACAAGTGCATGTACTTATTGTTTGCTAGATTTTCATTCCCCCTAGAAAGAGCAGATTTCAGTTGACAGGACGTTTGTAGATGCAGCCACCTGGTTTGCATTAAGCTCTTGTTTGCAGGGAAATAGATGTGGCAGAGTTGAGGAAGAGGGGAACATTCCAAATGTAGGTGGGGTAGGAGGAAAAATTCAGGAGAGTAAGTCTCTCCTTTGAGGTAGTTTGGATTTTTGTCTTATATATGCTTTCTTTCCTCCTCAGAGGCCAAATTTCAGATGACTTGTAAACTACCTAGATGTAGTACTTCATTCTTTTCTTCTCTCTAATTGAAAAAATGTTCAAATGAGGATATAGGAAAGTCGGCAGAATTCATGGTTCGAAACGTATTGTTTTATTGGCAAAAAACAGTGATCACAGCTATATTCATGGATATAAACAATGCTAACGGTGCAAGGAAATTTAAAGAGTGACAAAGTGCTTGTTTTGCTGGGACTTTCTTAGTTGTGGTGTTAAAAGTTTCACATCCTTGGAAACCCCTCAGCCCTGGGCACACTGGGACAGTTGGTCATACTACATACAGTTTATCAAATCTAGTCCAACTTGTTTTATCTCTACTTGTGAAGTCCGTTTCCAAAGTTGCTCTAAATGTGGAAGAGGAATGCTGTTACCACATAAGTGTCCACAGATGTTTCCAGTTGAGGAAGGAGCCATTCAGGTTTTGCATATTTTTTCCTAATTTTTTTAGAAGGCACTAACTGCAGTTATTCAAACATACACACTTGGATTATTGGTAATGTTCCAATCATAGTAATTTAGGAAAAAGACAAGAAAATGCGATTTAGATTTGGAATATGATAGTAAGTAAGCCTTTTAAAGAGAAGTTCAAAGTGATGAAAGCGAGTTTTTGTGTGCTGAGCTCTAGATATAATGGGAAAATAGCTGAATGCTTTCAGCACTGAGCAAGTGGATTATATACACAATTTAGAGAGGGAATTATTTAACCTCATCCTGCACAAAGTAAACTACTCTACTGGCTTCTTTATCTTTTTATTTTGCTTTCAACAGTTTAACAAAATGTTTGAGTGCCATGATATAGAAATAATGAGTGTGATTTAATTCACTTTTTAGAGTGCTGTATTATGTTGTCAAAATAGGTTACTGCTCTCTGTTATTCAAAGGGTTTCTGGAATTGAGATTGAAATTACTGGGGAAGAACACAATTGTGGTGTATAGTATATTTAATAAAATGTGTTTGTTTTAAACGAGCAAAGATATTCAGTTATCTGATATTCTAAAGCTTTTATCCTTAGGGAATCAGGGTGACAGCATCAGGTTAAAATAGCATTAACATATGCATTATTAAGCTATCAAAATATAGGTAAACTAGAACAATTATTTTCTTCAGTATGTTTATTTTGATATTCAACAACTTATTCTTTAATAAATCTTAAATACATGCTTACGTGTCTGCGACCTCCACACTCCATTGTGTTTACAAAGGCTTGACTTTATAATACTTATCCTGTTACAAATTTAGTAATGTAAATTTAAGGAGCATTATGTCATCCTGAAGAATTAGTCCTATGTGTTAAAACATAATTTCTATTAATAGAGGCATTTATCAACTAAAAACCCTCATTTGCATTACATTGACTTTATACTATTGCTTTCAGTTTGTTGGGTTGCTTTTACTGATGTTATTCAGGGTGGGGAAAATTTTCAACTACACTAAAGTAAAAACTAGTGTTTCCTAGTTTGCTAGGAAAATTTCACACTTTAGGTATAACTGTTTGTTACTTTTTCCTTTCTTCAACCCAGTGCTCTGCATATTTTTAATTTTTTGCACATATTTACTGCATATATATGTGGAATGTCATCATTGTCAGTTTAAAAACTAAAAGATCTTTCTGAACAAGTGAATAGTAGTAATCTTTGTAAATAAAATGTCTTCGCTTTTTTCAAATCAGTTTTTTATAGATTACTTTGTTCTTGACAAAGGTGGTCTATAAACATGTCATATGCATTTTTGCTGAAGCTCTATATAGAAATGATTTTCAAAATGGTTAGTAAGTTAATGGTGATAGTAATTTGTTTCATGCTTTGCATGAAGTACATTTTACTTAAGACTTTTTCTTAAATAAAGATTTAAACTGTATAATTCATACCATTTCTTCTTTACCTTTTGCTAAATATCCTCGAAGTAACATTTACTATTTTATTAAACCTGTAAAGAAGTAAGAACTATTTATGTCAGGGAAACAAACTTCCAAAGGGTAAACTGTTAAATATATTTGAATTAGATCAATAAAAATTTTAATACATAGCACTCTAAAATGTGGGATTACAGTAATATATTAAAATATTACATGGCTTTATAGAACAGGATAATACCTAAGAAATCTGGTCTAACATTTCGTTAGGTGTAGTCTATGGAATGGAATATTAGTCCTGTGACATAGTCTGGGGGTGGGGGGGCGCAGGAGAGTGGGTACTGTGGCCAAATAGTTGTGTGAAATGCTGTATATAAAATACCTCTGCCTCAAAGATTTTATATACAGTGTATATATGAGCCTATTCAAAGCTCCTGAAGATACCTATTTAACTCTTTCAACTCAACATTTCTCAAACTCTAAAATGATTTTGCTCTTTCAAATAAATATCCTTCACACGTCTTCCCCAACATCTGGTTAATACTAATTCATTACACAAAGGCATTGTGACAAGAGTCACCTGTAACCAAGGGTACTCAGAGCCTCAATGTTGTGGATATTAAGACAAAAAATAGATAAATCCACTTCCCAGGGTTTAACTTGTAAGCTAGAACTAAAACCCAGGTCTCCTGACTGGGTTTCTCTGAGGCCATGATCAAGTGACCACAACAGGACAATATCAGGGCCTAGGAGATGGGTTGTGGCAGGGTGTTGAAATAGTTTTTGTACCAAGAGCTAATTGGGAAGGATTTGGGGTAGAATGCTGAAATTCTATAGGATTAGGTAAAGTAGAGCTCTAAATCCAAACTTCCTAGGCTAGAAATTGGGTTCTCTTGCTTATCAGCTATGTAACCTTCAATGTATTATTTAACTTCTCTGTATCTTAGTTTTCTTACCTGTAAAGTGGACACTATAGTAGTTCCTATCTCATAGGATTTGTTGTGAGAATTAAATGAATTAACATATTTAAACTTCAAACATATCTGGTAGATAATAAACATTCACTAAATATTTTTATCATTCATTTATCATTTATATATAATTTATTTCTCATTTGTTATTTATTTATTATTTGTAGCAAACATAGTACCCTACCATGAAGGCAATTTAATATGGGTTTTAGGGATGAGAGTTATTTATTTATTATTTGTAGCAAACATAGTACCCTACCATGAAGGCAATTTAATATGGGTGTTGGTTTTAGGGATGAGTGATATGCATTGTCTGTGCTGATTCTGAAATTCCCTGGGTACCTAATGGGCCTTATGGCTGTTCATTGCTTGAATCACAATTTGGCTTTATTGAATACAGTTATTCAACAATAGCACCTTTAAACATCTAAATGTAGTATAAGGTATACATATTATATATAAGCACATAGATTATGAAGATCAATAATTAAAGCAATAGGAGATGCATACAATTAAAAATGAGCATGACGATATCCTTAATTACTTAAAATATACCATTTTAATATAAAAGCAAAATATTTCTCTGAGGATTTTTTTGGGAGGGGGTTTCCAGAATTATTTTTGTTGAACCTTCTGTTTTTGTATCTTTTACCCCAGAAGACGGTGAGTTAAGGTCAGAGATCATGCCTTACTCATCTCTGTATATCTAGTAAAGCAACACAATGTTTGATAGGCAGTGGACATTCTATAAATATTGAAAGAAATAATGAAACAGTGATGCTTTTGAATCCTTTGCTTTCAATTTGAGCAAACTATAACTAATTTGAAATACATGTACTAGAACTGGCATTGGATATAAAATATGCCTTTTCTTCTGAAAATTTTTACAAGTAGTGGTAGTAATAATAATACTTACCGTGATTGATCCCTATGACCCAGGCCCTAATCTAAATGCTGTTTGTATACCATCTCATTTAATCTTATGCAGCCTGATAGATAGGTATGGTACTTTTTATTAACAAATGGCTATTAAAATTTGAACCTGTATCTGTTTAGCTTAAAGGACTATGCTTTATGATCACTACCCACCTCACATAACAATTCCTTGCATTATCTTTTCCCTACCATTACATTTTAAGAATATTTTGCTGTAGTAACATATTTAAATCACATTGTCAAAACACTGGGAATATGTTTCCAAATTCTAGCTGGTAGGTTGGTCACTTTTCAATAAATGTACACCTTCTGTTTCCTTCTCAAAGTGAAACTATTTTTGTGGTTATGTATTTTATAGCTGGATATTATACTATCTCATTATAATCAATATATTTTGGGCAATGAGTATAGTAATTAGCCATTTAGACACCTCCTAGTGTTTAAGTGCTTTTATCTGTGGAATACTGGGAATGCATATTCTAATGTGACACAGAAGTCCTCACAGTATTTTTCATTTTTAGGGGAAAAAAGCCTTTGTAAATTTACCTTTGCGGTACTTTGTTTGCTTGTTAATTTGACTTAGAAAAGCATCTATTTTTAAACTCACGGGAAGTCACAAAGATGGGTATACTTTGTTTTCTGTGGTAGATATATTTAAGTAAATGCTTGTAAATGGAATTTTTATAAATTCAGCTGTAAATTTCCACAGCTCTCATTTTAAAGTGAGCAATACTGCCGTGCTAATAGACCTGCTTGAAATTGCCAATCATCTGACCATCCCTGTCCTAACTTACTGTCAATGCCACTGGGGCTACCACACTCTTGCCAAAAAATGCTGCCACTAAAGCCAAAGGTGTCACTGCAGGTAAAGATGATGAACCTGTAAGCATTTGTGGCTGCACAGCTTAAACAAAAGTAAAGGTGCTGGAATGCTTATTTACAACCATGATGACCCTTCAGTGAGTGTGAGCAGCTCCCGAGATGCTTTTGGCTCCGGTTCCAGTAGGAGTCTGTTTGGCACAAGAGGCATTGGCAGCACTCATGTTATAATTGTGTTGAAGCAGCTTTGGCTGATGGAGTGAGGACTCCAGAAACTGATACTTTCAGCAAACTGTAAGCTCTCCAAGGTCAGGGACCATGTCTTCTTCCTTATCTCTGTGTCTGTAGCCAACAAAGCAAGGAGTAGATTACTGCATATTTATTTATTAAACAAATGAGAAAAGTAGCACCCCCTGAAGCAATTGCTGTCTTGGCATGGGCAGTGGCCCATGAGAATGTGCTCAAGTCTTTGGAAGCAGTTTCCATTGCACAGGTGGCTCAGGTCCAGGGGGTTATGTCTCTAAAGGAGTGCAAAGAAGAGGCATCGGCCATGGAAGATACTCCTTATGCAGTGGTAATAACCTCTGTGATAGCTACAAGAAGAGGACCTGAATTAGTGAACGGGATAACTCCTTAACCATGACTCATAATCTGAGCCCATGCAGAGTGCCCCATAGAACTACATTTTCCAAATTTGGAGAATTGAAGACCAGGTTTTGGCCCATGATCTTTTCTATGGATTTTTATATGATTCTAAATGAATTAATGTTCATGGATTCCAGTAGTGCTAAGCATTAGCAATAATAAGCATATTCAGAAATGGAACTATGGAACTATGGCAAAAAAAGATTAGGTAAAACTATGAGAAAAGAATAGGTACAACTTACATATTTTTTATGGGATATTGTAGTCATGTAAATTGTGGATCATGACACAGAATAAAGTGACTTTCTTGCCAAATCATAAAGAACAGTAGTTTCCAAACTCAAATATGTATTTATACCAATTGGGGCTCTTGTTAATGCAGATTCTGACCCACTGATCCTCTAAAAGAGATTCTGCATTTCTTATCTGCTCTGGGTTATGAGGATGCTGCTGATTCATAGGCCAATCTCAGTAGAATGTTTTAGGATGCTGGGTCTCAAACTTTGCTTCACATTGGGATCATTAAAATACTAGGGAATGTTTAAAGATGTTGATACTTGGGTCTCAACCCTAGAGATTCTGATTTAATTGGCAAGGGATGTGGCCTGATCATGAGGATTTGTAAAAGCTCTCATAGAGATTCCAACATGCAGCTAAATTGGAGAATTGATGATCTAGGTCTGGTTTTAATTTACTTTTGAGAAGAAATATTCATTTTAGGCATCTAATCATATTTTTTGCTTTCAGGTTGCAGCAATCTACAAGGATTCAAGTATTGGAAATCTTATAAACATAGTTATTGTAAAATTAGTTATAATTCACAATGAACAGGTAAGAAACAGGTCTAAAGTTAGGCTTTTAGTGGGAATATATATATAGACCACAAAGCTCTTATTAGAAATGAGATATTTTAAAATTTTACTTTTAAAAACTTGCTTTGAAAAGGAATGAGATTATCCTTTTCTGTTGTGATAGAAATAAAATGGAATGACAACCATGTTTAACTGAGCCTAGGAAGTATCAAAAATGAATAAACAATTAGAAAATCTAAGGTTAAAAACATCCAAGTGTTGACTTTTACAATCCTAATGTTGAAGGATTTAAAATATGGTAATTTTTTTAAAGGTAGTGTTTTTGATCTTAACAATTAAATGGTTACATTGAGAAGATCTAATTAGATTCAGTTTTGCTCACAATGTTTTAGGTATTGCTAAAATTTATTTTATGTGATATATAAAATATGTAATATGGAGAGATAATGTTACTCCTTCACTTGCCTGTGACAATGCTGTTTGATAAATTGTATGGGTACTGATAAGCTTGGAAGGAAAGGGGACATAATATTGAAGGGCTTATCATTTTGTGCAGGAAGGACCAGTCATCACTTTTAATGCCGCTACCACGTTACGCAACTTTTGTTTATGGCAACAAACTGAGAATGTTCTCGATGATGCTCACCCTTCCCACCATGACACTGCTGTTCTGATCACTAGGTACAGTTTTAGAAATGACTCTTGCAACTATAATTCTTTATTCTCTCTCCTTCATAATGACTGATACTTCTTGTTACCTTAATTCTTTATTGATAATACATGGAAGTGTTCTGTGAGGACTTGTATTACAAAAGAAAGTATTGAATGAAAGCATTCTTCCCTTCTTTCAGGCTAAAATACTAGGTAGTTCCTTAGGAAATTAGCAATGTCAGGCTGCTGGGTAATGGTTTTATCTAAACAAAATAATTTTCTTATCATATTTGTGGCAGAATAGGAGAAATAGGAATAATATCTGGAAATTAATATAGTTATGGAACTGACAGCAAGTTTGTTCATTCCTGTCTTGTTATATCAATCACTTAGAAAGAAGAGTGCCTGAATTTATTTGGTTGTTCACTTTTTGGACTCCTTGTACTCTAAAAAAAATTAATCTGTTCCTTGTTTTGATATTCAATGCATGTCTTAATTACCAGGCTGCCTTTGCTAGGGTTGTTCTCAAACCTATTTATATGGAAAACAGCTTTTGCTATTATAAAATTATTATCCATTTTACAAGTACCACTAGACAGTGTGAATTCATACCTTTGTTTCAGCAACACTGATGCTACCAGAATATATAGATACTAACTTTGTTATTTGGTTGGTTGGTTGGCTAAAGAAATCCTCTCCTTGGGGGCCAAACTCAAAGAAATCTCAGCTTCTAGAATCGTGACATGAAAACCTTTACCTCATGTAAAGTAGTTGATAGGTAGTCCATGTGTTTTATCTCTTTTCAAAACGAATGCAGAACTGACTTAATTTCTCAGACAGTACTGTATTGTAGTCCATGGCTCTGCTCATGATGACACTGAATCATTGAGAAAAGGGTAAACTATATTTCATATATTGTAATACTGTAAAGGCAGAGAGGTGAAAAATTTACTTAGAAACATTTCCTTTGTACTTGGTTAAAGCTTCAGCTATTTACAACGCAGTCTTCTGTGTATCACCTATCACTAATTGATATGTACAAATGGTACTTTACTCTAAATTTAAAATTTTGAGCTTAATAAGAACTGGATTTTGGAAGTTAATTTGTGGTAATAGTTAAGTTACAGTTAATGCTTCTTTATTTTTGTTTTGACTTGTTGCAAAAATATTTTCTGAAAATGCCTCAAAATAAATCTTTTATTTTAAGGGAAGACATTTGTGGAGCTAGAGAGAAATGTGACACATTAGGTAAGTTATTTTATCAATTAAGTTTAGCTTATATAATTGTTTATTGAATTATTTAAAATAATGCTTAGTGTATTTTTCTTTTATTTGACATTTTAATCATTTTGATTGTCTTGATAAATTATTATACCATTTGATTTTACTTCTATAAACTTTACAGGATAACAAGAACTAATATTAATGCGTAAATCAATAAATATCCAGTGCTGTGCAAAGCTTGACATATTTAATTTAAAGTATTTTATTATGTAATATTTGATCCATGAGAAATAATACATAATATCCTATATGCCACGTTAAAGCAAAGTAATAAAATGAATAGCTACCTGAAGAGCTATTCATTTTAATATTTTGAATATTTTAATGTTACAAATAGCTATTCATTTTATTATTTTGCTTTAATTTTGCATATAGGTTCCTTTTTATTATATCCTTACCAATACAGGATATCTTTGGATTTTTCATTTTTTTTAATTGAAAGATAATTTAATATACATATTTGTGGGGTACAAAGTTGACTATTAATAGTTGAATAGTTGTGTACAATGTGTGATGGTCAAATCAGGATAGTTAGCTTATCAATATGCAATCATTCTTCATGTCTGTTAACCAGTTTCTCATTAATTTCTCATTTTTGCCAATCTAAGTGTAATATATTTCATTAAAATCATAATTTTCATTTCCCTGATTACTAAGGAATTTGACCATCTTTTTGTATATTTTCTGGCCATTTATATTTCCTTTTCTGTAGGGAATGAAATAAATCAAAGAAATATTGTCCATTTTTCTGCTGTGGTATTTGTTGTTTTCTTACTGCTTTTTAGGTGTTCTTTATAACTTTTTGATACTAAATCCTTTGTGTTTTTTATGTATTGCAGATATCTTTTAACAATCCGTTGCTTCACTTTTTTGTGTGTATGAAAATCTATAATGTAGCTGAATTTATAAAGCTCTTCTTTTAGGGTTAGCATTTTTGTATCTTATTTAAGAAACCTTTCTGTAACTCGAGGTCTAAACATATTATCCTATTTTCTTATAAATATTTTAAAATTATCCTTTTACACTTAAATTTCTCAGCCATTGGGATACTTTTTTTACTATGGTATCAGATAAGAATCTACTTTGGTTCATTCATTTTCTGTTTGGATTACCAATTTTCCCAAACTATGCATTGAGTAATTCCCTCCTTTTCTTAGAATCTGCAATGTCATGAATAAAATTTTTGTATGCGCTTGAGTCTGCACATCAACCCTTCATTCCATGGGCCCATATTTTTTATTTAATTCATGCACCAATTCCACACTATTTTCATTTTTATAGTTCTATAATACATCTTAAAAATTGGTAGGATATATACTTCCACCTTATTGTCTTCAGGAGTAATTTTGGCTGTTCTTGGACTGTTACTCATCCATAAAAATTTTAGAACGAGAATGTTCAGTCTTCATAAAACACTTACCTGTTTATTTAAGTAAGACTTTTTGAATGTCTTTCAGTAATCTATATTATTTTCACTCAAATAGGACATGCACAACTTTTGTTACACTTCTACTTTTTATTGTTAGTATAAATGATATATGGTGCTGGTCAGTAGAAATGCAATAGATTTTTTGGCTTGTTGATTTTAAATCCAGCCACCTCATTCTTCAGTATAATTAATTCTCATAATTTACCAGTAGATTCTTTTGGATTTTTATGTGGACAATTATATTATTTGTGAATTATGGCAATTATGGCATACAGTTTCCATGCCCTCTCTGGGCACACCACCCACTCAGCACCTTGATGTGTTCACCAGCTTGGAAGCTCTCCAAACCCCATTGTTTTGGTCTTTTTATGGAGGCTTCATTACATAGGCATGATTGATTAAATCATTAGTCATTGGTGATTAACTCGATCTCCAACACTTTTTCCCTCACCAGAGGTCAGGGGTGGGGTTGAAATTTTCAACTCTGTAATCATGCCTTGGCCTTTCTAGGGAACGTTACTCTTCCTGAAGCTATGTAGGGGCACACCAATTGTCACCTCATTAAAACAAAAGATTCTGTTATCACTCAGGACATTCCAAGGATTTTAGAAACACTATATCAGGAACCAGGGACAGAAACTAAATAGACATTTCTTATTGTATATTATGTCTGATAACATAAAAGCTGCCCCAACTTTCTCTTGTTTGGTATTTGCTGGATATATCTTTTCTTCCAATTTTCCAATGCCCTTATGCATTAGGGTTTGTTTTTTTTTTTTTTCGTAGAAAGAACATAAAATCGGATTTTTAAAATATCAAATATAACAACCTATGTTGTTGAATTAGCAAGGTTGGTCCATTTATATTTATTATAATTATTATATATTGACATATATACATTATGCTTTTGCTCTCTGATTATCCCATTTTATTTTGTGCTCCCCCTCCTCAACATTTTTGGCCTTTCTCTGGGTTTGTTAAGTTTCTAAATTAGTTTTCTTATCCCACTTTTCCTTTACAACTTGAAAATTATATATACTATTTTATTATTTTTAAAGTTACTGTGGCTTTTTACTAGGAATACTTAAGTTAGCTTTGTCTAAAGCTCTCTCCTAAACAAACAATAAATTACTTTAACTTTGTTCAATTTTCTTCTAACTTACGTGGTGTTCTTGTCAACTGTTTCATTTCTGTCATTTTGTAAACCTTTCATATTAGACAATATGGTTTTATATTCAATATTTGTTAAAATTTATGCCCATGTTTACAAAATATTCATAATTCTTATATATTAAACCTTGCTTCTGAGGTTATTTTTCTTTTTTCCTGATTTACAGCTTTTAAAAGTTCCTTTAGTGAGTATCTATTAATGGCAAATTACCTACTTTAATTTTTCCAGAAATGTCTTAAATTTACTCTCATTTTTGAAATATAGTTTTCCAGGTACCAATTCTAGATTGGCAGTTATTTTCTCACAGTATTTCAAACATATTACTGCACTGTCTTCTGGCTTTTGCTGTTAAGAAATCTGTAGTTTGGTTATAGATTCCTTGGTGATCTGTCTTTTATATGATTTTCTCTTTGTCTCTGATATAATGCAGTTTTATTAAAATTGTGTCCTAATATAGATAGATTTCTTTTTTTTGTTGTCTCTGATATAATGCAGTTTTATTAAAATTGTGTCCTAATATAGATAGATTTCTTTTTTCTTTTTTTTTGGGGGGGGAGTAATAATAAATAATAAAGTAATAATACTTTATTATATTTTCTACTCTGCAAAGAGACTGTTAACATAATGTGAAGACAACACACAGACTGGTAGAAAATACTGGCAAAACACATATCAGATAGATTTCTTTTTATTTATCCTGCTTGGGATATGTTGTGATTCCTTTATATATTGATTATTATTTCTTAGCAATTGTGGAAAAAATTCCCATCTATTTTTTTTCTTTTAAATTTTGTCTTTTAATTCTATCTGTTCTCACTGGGGGACCCTAATTACATCTTTACTAGGTTTTATTCTGTTCTCCATGCTTTTATTTCTTTTCCTCTTCATGTTTTATTCAAGCAGCTCAAACTTCCATTTTACTGTTTCTCTCTTTGGCTGTGTCTAATTTGATGATTTCTCCATCCTTCAAATTCTCCATTTTAATATATGTATTTTTCTATTTCAAAGATACTATTTTGTTCTTTTTCAAAACTCACCTATTTATTCTGTTTGCATTCTTTTTATATTTGCTCATATTTGTAATTGAGTTTCAAGTTTTATTAAACATTTTAGGTAATTTTATATTCTGTCTCTGAAAATTTCCACGTCTGAAATGCTTGATAGCCAAACATGTGGTTTCTGGTAACTTTATTTTATGTTGACTTTTTGTTGTATATTTGATGGTCTTTGACTGTGAGCTCATATTTACTTAATATTAAAGCATGAGATTGGGAGGTGGCCAGATCAAAAAGTGTATGCTTTCCTCCACAGAAGATTTTTATTTTTTTGTTGGAATCCAAAAGGTGTTCATAACGGGGTCTCTGACTTAATATAGATAACTCATAACCCAGATCTGCTGTTTCCTCCAGCAAGCTCTTAATCTGTGGGTAATATTGCTTTCATCAGTGTTTGCCCTCGGAGTACTCTCTGTCCTTACTATTCATTGCTTACCACTTAGGATTTAATGCAGAGTACGAATATGTGTGTATGTGAGTACATATGCCTGCATGCATGTGTATTTGAGAGACAGAAGGAGAGAGAGAACATGTGTGTTAGGTTTTAGAGGTGAGGACTTGATAGTTCTTATAAATCATGTGAGCTCAGCATTCGTTAAAAAATAGTTTTATTAAATATCTAGTTTCTTTATGTTACGAGGGCCTTTTAGAAATTCTAATTTTCCACACTTATGGAAATAAATACCTGCTGCTGTAATTTTTATAACAGATTGAATTCCCTCATCCCTACGAACTATTCTCTGTTAGGTATATTCAATCATTTAGTAAGAGTCTAATTAATATATTATATTTTTCACATTTTCTGTGCCCTGTTATCACATCTTTATACTGAAGGTTAAGTAGTACAAACTTTTATTGAACATTTCTTACTATTTTTTTAAATGATTCTGTGCTAGACATTCTATGCCTGTAGAAGTGGTCGATCTTGTTTCCGTTCATGTTTTTGTAGTTTTCATCCAGCCCATGCAGTGTATTATAGTGGCATTGAGAAATATAGACTCAAAATGAAAGCATTATTTTTATCCACTAAGTCAATAGTAATGATGATAATGATAGCTAAGATATTTGAATGCTTCCTGTGTATTACACCCTCTATTAAAGTTTTGTATGATTTAGCTTATTTAAGCTTCACAATAAATCTATGAGGTAAATACAACTATTCCAGTTTTATAGGTAAACACAATTTGCCCAAGGCTACACAGCTTATATTAACGCAAGTATTAGTATTTTATTTTCTCACCCAAAATATGTTGAAAAATAACAAACTAAGGATAACTATTAATGACAAACACAAAATGTTGGTAATAATTACTAGGTTTCCTGCTATATCTCCTTTTGCTTGTATTGTTGCCTCAGTCCTTGACTAGGTTTGCAAAATGTGTTGAAAACAGTTTTTCATTCTTCAAGATGGCTAGATGGCACGACTCTACTTAGCCGACTGTACTTCTAAACACAGAGAACCTGTATCAGATTTGGGCCCATGCTGCTTTATTTTATGATGGACAACTTTTAGAGAACCCAGAATCAGTTTGACTAAATGTAGACACACACCACCAACCACGTGCTTGCTAACCATTCACTTCAACTTTTGTTGGTGTTGTATGTTTACCGGAATATTTGAGCTTGGTCACTAATAATAGGCAATACATGTTTTCACCAATCTGTTACATGACCACAATGTCCAGTTTAGAATGTATATACCTTTAAGCATGAAACACGAAGTTTGGGTGGTAATGGAGTCAATATTATGCTCCATATATTTACACAGCCCTGAAAATGCATGTATTGGAATTGAGCCACTTGGCAGATTGAAAATAATAAAAGCATGAGAGCACCAGGATATCCATGAAAGAAGTGTTCTCCTTTGTTCTGACAAAGGAGAAATTTATAATATGATGAGAATTGACTAAAAAATTACACATGCAAACATGAATTTTAGAATCTTAAGGAAAACAGTAATTCCTTACTATTAAAGTAAGGACTTTTAAAAAATTTTAAAAGTCAGAGGACTATTAAAAAATTTTTTTCTTTTTTTCTTTTTCATACATGCTTTTGGTCTTGATGCTAACTAAGGAAAGCTCTTTGATGGGAGATTTTGCCCAAACAAGACCTTTTGGCAGTGAGGTCAGAAAGAGGACAAATGTTTGCTTTTTGTTAAAAGTATTGGCTAATGAACTTCATCTTTGAGTTTTTTCCAGCTTTTTTAGATTCTTCAACTTAACTTCCATTTCTCTTAAACCACAACAAAAACATTCTAATTGTTAGGAAATCTACCTAAAATGCTAGGAGGAAGTCCGTGTTTTTAACTTTTACGAATGAAAGAATACATAGGAGGAGAGAGCTAAAACAGTATCTAATACAATTATATTCCATATTAAGAAATTTATAAATGCAAAAACTTTATGGTAAGAAACTGATTATCTTATGTATGAAAAATTCTTCTCTTTTGTGGATGGAGTCATCATAGGAGAATAAATAAATTTGGAACTGAGTATTGAAGGATAGCAATAGCAAAACCATGGTATTATGTTAAATTAAAAAAATACGTAAGTGAAAAGCTAACTTGATTGATGATGGATTATGGATTGTTGTAATGAACATTTATTTTGAATTTCTTATTCTATGTTATTTTTAGAGGACTCTATGAACTGTAATTATTGCTGTCTTTGGTGTCCAGCTAGCTCATGCTACATTTATCTTTCAACAGCACATTTGAGTTGCATGTTATTCTTTACATAAGAATGAATAGATCCTGTTAAATAATACATTTCCTGTTGCTGAAATGTGACAGCATTATTTAGTGCTTTGTCTATCACAATCATGTTTTGTTTTATTTAGCATATTTTAAATGCCAGGCAGTATTCTAAACACAGCATGTTTTTACTTATTTAATTTTCATGTGATAATTGAATATTTATATGCTGCTGCAAACTTTAAAAAATTAAAGAAACTTTATAGTTTTGTAGAGTTCTGTGCTATTTTCTTTTCTTATTAGTTTTTCTATTACCAGTTGATGCATTTATTGCCTTTCCCGCTACCCATACTAATGTGTCTGAATACAAAGCCTTCCTGTAACAAATATTCTTTTCGTGTATTTTAAAAAATGATTTGTTCTCCCTATATTTTTGTATTATTTTGTTGGGTAAAAGATCCCAAGAATTTGCTAAAAACGTTTCAACTGCAGACAAATCATTCTTTTTTTCTTTCACCTTATAAAATGTTTATTCAATATTAACAGCCAATCCTGCATTCATTTTTGAATAACAATAACAACAGTTAAATAAGCTTTAAAATTTAGTTCTTACTCTATGCTTTTGGTGGTATTTCCCATTTTGATGACATACAAATGTGAAATTTTTCAGGGTTAGCAGAATTAGGTACCCTGTGTGATCCTTTACGGAGCTGCTCTATTAGTGAAGAAAACGGACTCAGTGCTGCCTTTACTATAGCGCATGAGCTTGGGCATGTGTAAGTACCTTCTGTTACCTCAGTCATGTGCCTTCTAGTTATCATTGCACAGAATGCCTAAAATTTCATGTTCAGTTGAATGATTAGCACCTTTATTTCCTCATAAGATATTATTAGTGTAATTTTCATCCCTGAAATGCTGACTCTGGCTCTTTTGTGATATATGTTAGGTCAGACAGGCTGCACAGATCAACACACTAAGCAAAGAACTAGAACTTGGGAATTCTTTTAGAGGAGAATACTTGAGGGCCATAGAAGTATTGCAGCTGTATCTGGTACATATTTACTGGTTTCCAAGGCTGCTGACTAGAAGACTGTTTTTGCAGAGAGTACCATCTTGGACATTTATTTTCTTTCTGAGAAAGCCTTTAGGCTTCTGTAGAATATCGGTAAGTAGTTTAATTAAAAGACTGATTTAAATCAAAATTCCAGCAGGCAACGACCTGAATTAGGTGGTTTGAGTATTCGTTCTAAGCTTGAGTTTATACTGAAGTCCTCAAACGATTGCATAGGATATGTTGCTGACCTGCTAATTATTTAATATTTTGTGCTTGTTGTGAAGATTTGACTGCTTTTTAGGAATGCCTTTTATTGTTTCAGTTCTGCCAATCATCACTTATTAATCATAGACCAGAAACAGAACTTAGGCTGTTTCATATAAAATAGATGGATCCTATAGAATGGCATGGAATTGGGGATTAAAGAAGTCTTTTTGGGGCCGAGCCCGTGGCGCACCATGCGCCGCTGGGAGTGCAGCGGCACTCCCGCCATGGGTTCGGATCCTATATAGGGATGGTCGCCGGTGCGCTCACTGGCTGAGCGCGGTGCGGCCAGTCTCAAAAAGAACAAAAAAAAAGTCTTTTTGATAATGTAGCAATAGTCAGTGGTCTAGAATTTAGTGTGGTATGACCTTTACCTAATCTGTGTCCACACACATCTCCTAGGATATCTGTGTTGAAACCTGCAGCATTTTTATGTGAATCTGTGCCCATATTGTGATGAGATGAGCCAGTATCCAAATATTTTGATTGTTTAGATGCAGATGCAAAATCAACAAATGGTGCTGCTGATCAAAAGTATAATCTAGTATTTCCCAGAAACCATTTGCTTCTGAACATGAATATTATAGTGCCTTTGGGAGAGAGAGATAAGAGTACAAATTCTGATGTAACCAGATTTATCTATATTTTACATTATACTATAATATAAATATAAGGAATCTGCTACTGTTGTATATATCTTTTGATATTGTTTTTTAAGGATTTATTTTTATTTTTAGATTTAATATTCCACATGATGATAGTTTTAAATGTAAAGAAGCTGGAGTTAAACATCAGTATAATGTAATGGCCCCAAGTTTAAATTACCACACGAATCCTTGGACCTGGTCAAAATGTAGTCAGAAATACATCACTGAGTTCCTCGAGTAAGTTTGAATTTATGTTACTTTAGTTGAATAATTGAATATTTATTAGATTATAAGATTTGAAATTTGTATGCTTTTCTAAGGTGGTTCAATTTCTGTTGTTTTTTTGCTTAGATTTATACTTACTTTCACTATACAAGTGGGTGTTTAAAAACAAGGAAAGAGTTGTATATACGTACTATCTCACTCCTTTAAAAAAGTATTTTTATTGCAGTACAGACCTAGCTATCATTTTTTATATGGACCCTTTCTTGTGATGAAAACTGTGCTTTGGGAGAGACTTAATGGTGATCACAGCTTCCTTGTGTGTATTTGAACTTTTTCAGAAGTTACTAGATAATATTTTGAGAGGAGTTTGAGTGGTTTAAGTTTAAGGTGCTCCTGAAGGACAGAGAATAGGTAATGTCAAACTATGAGTTATCTAAATAGCTCACTAAAGCCACAGGGATTCTGAGACTATAGGTTTAGATACTCTTTTGGAGGCTCTTCTTACCTCTAAAGAGATGAGGTGAGGAGGCAGGTTCAGGTTTTTCTTGCCTCATCTGTCACTTTCTACCAGGTTTTTCTATTTCACAATTTCTTTTATCCAAAATAGTGTTTCTGTCTTAGTCACTGAAACTTGTCCAAAAGGCAAGCCCAAGCTCTTTCTAGGTAATCTTTTGTATAATTGTAATACTATTTTATTTCTTCTATATAATAACCAATTTAAAAGCATTAGTAGTTTTTAGTTATCTCTCTCTTTATGAGAACTATGGGAATACATAAAACCATGCTATGGAATTTATGTTCTAAATGTATCCCATAAATGTAATCAGCCCTGTTAATTTGTTCTTGTATGGGAACTTGATTTAAAAACATAACACACAGTTGCTGATCTGTTCATGATCACATATAACTTTGTTCCGTGGTTAATTTGCTGTATTGATTAAAATACCAGGGCATGTGCCCTTTTTTTGGAAGGAGGTAATATTCTGATTCTCTTCAATGGAAATTTTAAAAACTATGTGTTCATTTTGTTGAAAAAATTATGTATCCTTTTAGTCAGTAAAAATTTCCAAAAAAGAAAAAAATATTTATTTTAATTATTGTAGTGGAGAAAATTGTTACATTTAGCCCAATTGGACTAGGTGAACATCTTCACAGTTTTTTGTAGACTGGACATTGCATGACAAACTAGGAGTAACATATATACATTTACCATGCTGTTTACCACTTTCTAATTCATTTAAATATATAATATATCTTGTATTCTAATAGCAGCTTCCGAGGTAGCTATTACCATTTTCAATTTACAGATGAGTAGACTTCAGCTCAGGGAGATTAAGTAGCTTCTCCACAGCCATGCAGCCTGGGAAACGTTAGAGCAAAGGTGCAAGCTTCCAAAGTTGGTGCTCCTGCTCTACTCCCTTCTTAAGAAACCGCTTGACGTGTAGGCAGCATAAACCTTTCTGAAATTCCTTTTTTGTTGTTGTTGTTTAGAACTAGAAGCACACTTCCTCAAATGATTTGAAAACTTATTTCTGCCTTTACAATGTTTTGGCAGTTTGGATATTATTACATTTAAGGCATGACTATCAGATCGAAAAGTAGACCAAAAATGTAGTATGACCAACATATGGATGTATGTTTCAGAAATTAGTTCCTGATGAATTTATGTTTTTTACTTATAATCATTCATTTTTTTGAAATTATCACCTTCAAGGTGGTTGTTGGGATCAAGTAAGAACAAGCACATTAAGGTTTCTTTGTAAACTGTGAGGCTGTCTTTAAGTGTAGGAATTATTGCTAAACTGATGTTGATATAAGTTGATTATTAAAATATGAAAAAATACTAATTTTCTCTTTGAAAGTAAAGAATTAAATAAAATGTGATAAAGAATCTTATACTGAAATGCATCCATGTGTACTTACAGTATTTTATTTAATTCGTACAGTACTGGTCATGGGGAATGTCTTCTTGACAAACCAAGTGGGAAAATATATAATCTGACCTTTGAACTTCCTGGATTAATCTATGGTGTAAACAAGCAGTGTGAACTCATGTTTGGTCCTGGATCACAAGTGTGTCCGTATTTGGTAAGAAAAATTCTATCTTTTTGTTTGAAAGCTGTCTTAAACTTGTAGCTAGAATATATTTTAAACTTCTGGCTAGAATATGTTTAAAAATACTCTCTTGAATGGGAGGTGAACTAAATATAGTGTTTGAGTGTTTGAAAAATTTGGTGTTTGGCAGAAAATGGTTAAAAAAGTGAAACTAAAACTTACTGAGTACTTATTATGTGCCAGGCACTGTGTTAGGTACTTAAAAATTATCTGTTTAACTCTCACAAATTCTTATCAGGTATTCTTTTTTAAAAAATAGAGCTACAGGGAGGTTAAATTTAAAATTAAAAGTATTGGGCCGTCCCGGTGGCGCACTGGAGAGTGCGCCGCTTGGGAGTGCGGCGGCGCTCCCGCCGAGGGTTCGGATCCCATGTGGTGACCGGTTCCTGCTCACTGGCTGAGCGCGGCGCGGGCGCAACACTGAGGGTTGCGATCCCGTTGCCGGTCCCCAGTACGGGCGCGACACCGAGGGTTGCGATCCCGTACTGGTCAGTAAAAAAGACAAAAAGGAAAAAAAAAATTAAAAGTATTCAAATATTTGTTTTCAAATCATTTTTTTGGAGTGAGGGGAAAAAAGGTAGGTGTTTTGATGCTGAGTTGTTTTAAAGGCCTTGGGAATCTAATAGGGTACATTTTCTCTTATATAGATTTGAATCCAGTGGAGTTAAATTTGAAGCATATTGTTTAGTTTTTATTAAGCTATTACTATAATATTTATTTTGAGGATTTTTCATAGATTAGGCATTTTTAATTTCCATGAAATAGCTGATCCTAACTCTTGCTGGATCTCTGATTATGATTTTCTTTTATTTGCATATAATTTAGTTTAGGATAAATGTCACTGCTTTGGTGAATCCATGCCTTATTTTTCCAAGCAGAATTGTCATTCCTTTTTCTTCATTCTGCTACATACCTTTGCCAAATTACTTTCTGTCTTACTAGATTGTGAGGATACTGCAACAGGAATGCAGCCTTATTCATTTATTTAAATAAATATATATTCCTAGTGTCCAGTTCAGGATCTGCCACATAGTATGTGCTGCAAATACATTTTTATTGAATATTGAAAGAATGAATGAATTAAAATCACTTAACAATGAGTGCAAGGACATGCAAAGCATATTTCACATAGTGAATATTGTTCCCCCAACCTTAGATTTATAATCACAAATTTTAGTAAGCCTTTTAACATCCAGTATGGAGGGGGAAAGATTTACCTTAACATTTTATTATAAAACATACATTCCTTCCAGCATGATTCAGACCATAAATAAACTTTGAAATTAAATTCAGAAAAAGAAAGAAATTGTCTTGGGTATACCTCCTGTGGCCCTCTATCGACTTTTGTTTCTTATGAAAACTTTAGAACTCTTTGTTCAAAAGTAGAAAGTATGCATTATGTTCTCAAAATAGGAAACTTCAGTATACATTATACAGTATTTTTGTGCACATTATTCATACATTCCACCACTGCATCAAAAGAGGCTTTAGGAACTCTTTGTGAATAACATTTAACAACAAAAAGTCTTTTAGTAAAATAGTAAAGAGAGAAAAATGTCTCACATAATTCTGAACATTTTCACTCCAATTCATTTCTCTCACTTTTCAATGTATTTAAATGTATTTCAATGTATTTAAAGTAAATGTTGCCATTTTTTGTGTTTAGAGGAAAATATGTTACTAGAACTTATTAAGTAAAGATTTTTGATAATTATTTCCAGCTCTGACCATGAAAGCGGGAAATATCTTGGATCAACTTATAAACCAATGCATTATACTAAATCAGTCCAGGTGTTGTTGTGTTATCCTTACTCTTGCTTGCCTGCCTTTTGTTGCTCTGCAGAAACAATGCAGGCGTCTCTGGTGCACAAGCACAGAAGGAGTTCACAAGGGCTGTCGCACGCAGCACATGCCACTGGCAGATGGAACAAACTGTGGTCCTGGGATGGTAGGTTTTCTCGAAGGGTGAGTCTTGTATCAAGAGATTATCCAAGGATGTGATTCCTCTGCATTTCAGCACTCTGTTCATTATTTGTTATCTACTTTGTTCAGCTAGTTGAATTAATGTTATTACCATGTTTGTTTGATGTAGTATGATGTCAATTGAATGAAATTTTAAATTTTACCTTTTTTTCAAGATGTAGTAGATGATATTACAATTGTATATAGTTATCATAGAAATAATTACATGGATATATAGTTATCTAAGTATATTATAGCCTTGCTATTAAAATTGAGTTCTAATAGATCGGCAAATCTCCCAAATTCAAGGATGTTTCCATTGCATACATTTTCTCCCATAAAATTTAGTTAAGTATAATTGAAAAATTTAAGTGGCTTCTTCAGATCTTTATTTGGTTCCATATATATTAAAATACATGATACTCCTAAAATAAACTGGCTACTGTACTGCATCTTTACTGTTACATTAATCTTTGCTGTTAATATTAATCATGAACTTATCTACATCTGTCAACACAATGGTGAATGATAAAACTCACCTTGATGACAATTTGGGTTATATGTGAGGATGAAATCAGATTGTGCTTTGTGCTACAGGATAAAATTAAGTTCTTTTGGCGTTGGTGGCCATTGTAAGTGGGTTGGCTAATGCAGTTCTTTGTTACCTTTACATTAAGCAGTAGTAAAAACTTGTTAAAAATAAAGTCAATTCATTAGCTGAACTTGTGTCTTTACCACCTGTTGCTTCATTAAATGTTTGTACCAGCTGTTGCCTTTCTCTTCAATCACTTTCCTGTCAAAAGGCATGTGTTTCCTATAAATAATATTCACATCACAAATGGATTGGTTACTAAAGTTTTATTTGGAATTTAGCAATTTTTGTAGTAGCTGAAGTACTCATTGACATTGTCTAACACTCTAATTACCTTTTTGTAGTTTTAGGGACAAAGTTCTAGTTGACATTTTCAGTTTAACCACCACTGAATCTTAAAATTTTATCCTTCATTTATGTAAAATTTTTATTTGGGGGATACGAATTATTAAAAAGACTTGTCTTTTTTTTCCCCCTTCCTGTGACCAGTATTAGTATATAGCTTTTTGAAGGGAAATATGGCATTTGTGGCAATAATGACTATCTTAGGGTGAGCAGAGGGAAAATACTCTTTGCCATGTGAATGCTGGGCTACTGAGCTTGGCCCATTAGATAGAAGATGTCCTCCAAGATGTTCAAATCTAGAATTGGGACTTACTCTGCTTCTTAGCAAATTTTCAAGTTACTATATGCCATGAAATTTCAGGATTGATTGCATGTGGCCAAAACAGTGATTGATATATTTATAAATAACAAGAGATATACTATTTATAGCTAAGTTATTGAGCAGTCTAAATCTAGTTCAGGCATAAACGTGATTTTTTGAAATTGAGGTATATGAGTATTATGTACAGATTTTAACTGTACAATTTGTTAGATTTTAACAAATATGGATGCACATGTAGTCAACATCCCAGTCACAATTAGACGTTTTTATCACTCTGAAAAGTTTGTTCTGCCTCTTTCTAGATAATTTCCCTTCCCTCCAGAGAAAACTCATCTTCTGATTCTGTCTCCCTAGGTTAGTTTGTCTGTTCTTGATCTTAATGTAAAGGGAGCCATATAAAATACCCTTTTTTAAAGGGGTGGGATGGGTTAGGGTTTTTTTAACATAATGTTTTTGAGCTTCATATCCATATTTTTGCATGCATCAGCAATTCATTCTTTTATATTGCAGTGTTATTCAACTGTACAGATGTACCATAATTTGTTTATCCACTCTCCTGTCGATAGACATTTGGATCATTTCTGCCTTTTGGATGTTATAAATAAAGCTTTCTGAACATCCTTGTACAAGTCTTCTTGTAGATATATGTTTGTGTTTCTCTTGGAGTGGAATCGCTGGGTCATAGGGTAAATGTATGTTTAACTTATAAGAAAGTGCCAGATAATTCTCCAAAGTATGTACAACATTTTAAATGCTCCCTAGCAATGTAGGACAGTCCCAGTTGCTCTGCAATCCTTGCCAACTTTTGATATTGCTACTCTTTAAAAAAATTTAGCCATTCTAGTAGGTATAAAATAGAATCTCATTGTGGTTTTAGTTTGCATTTCCTTGATTGTTTTCAACCTTGAGTATCTTTTCACGTGCTTATTAGCTATTTGAATATTTCTCCAATGAGATGGTATGGTGGGCATGGATTCGTTGGGATTCAAGGTAAACGTGATGAGATACTGGGACATATTTAAAGCCAGTGTAGATTAAAAACAGAGGTGGCATTTGGAGTAGAAACATGTGAACCATAATATGTAAAATATATATAAAATTTCATTTCCTCATTAATTGAAGACAATAAGCCCTTGTATATTAGCTATATTCAGTATTAAACGGACTTTTTATTAAAGGGATATTTTAAACAAATATCCTATAATTTTGCCTAAACACTCTCCTTTAGTCTCTTTATTTTGTGAGTATCTTACAAATGAGTCTAAGTGTTAAATACATTTGGTAGTAAATCAGTTTGTGTGAAACCATGGTGAACCCATATGACAATGAGTTAGTTTTACTACATGGTGAATGATATCAGATAACCCCCTTTTTCATACTCTGATCTCTCTAATTATTAAAAAAAAAAACAAAAAAAAAAAACAGCAAGGCCTATTTGAATTGTTTCTGGAGGATGCCCACAAACTGCACCTGTACATAGTACATTCTATTCTGAGATATGTTTTTGTCCACTTCTAATATGGCTTTCTCATATTGAATGATTTATTCTAATGAAGGGCACAAAGCATTTTTACTGCTAATAAGATTGGTTTTAGGATTCATTCATTGAGCAAAGATTTATCAAGGGCCTGCTCTGTCGGGCAGGAAAAATATTGGAGGTTTTGTGGTTAGAGAGGGCAGATTGCAATTTAAAATATGGTAGTTAGGATATACCTTATATAAAGTTACCAAATGAGCTGTCTTAAAGGAGGCTGAAGGAGTTAACTGTGAGGATATCTGGGGTAAGCAAGTTCCAGACCAAGGGAGCAGCTGAGCTTCTAAGTCTGGAGTATGCCTGGAGTGTTCAAGGAAGAACAGGGAAGACATTGTATGTAGAGTAGAGTGAAGAGAGAGAGACTTGAAGGAAGTAACTGGAAGAATATTATGTAGGGCCTTGCAGGCCATTGTGAGACTTTGTATTTCCTCAAAGTAAAATAATTAAAGGATTTGAGCAGTCACCACCTGATTTGATTTAGTTTAAAAACTAAGTTTAAAAAGAGTTATTCTGGCAGCTGTGTTGAGGGGAAACTGGGAGGGGCAAGAGTGGAAACACAGGACATCTACTTAGGGAGCCACTGCAGTGATAGAGGTGAGAGGAGCTGGTGGCTCAAGCCAGAGCAGTAGCAGTCAGGATGATTAAAGGTCAATTTTTGATATATTGTAGAAGGAACTAGAACATTTATTAATGTATTAGATGTGGAATCTTCAAGGAGGAGGAAGAGACAAGATGACTGTAGATTTTTGGCTGAACAACTTAGATCAACTCAGGAGAAGCAGGGTTTTTTTAAATTATACATACATTTGGGGTATAACACTGATTTTCAATAACTGTGTAGAGTGTGTGGTGGTTAGATCAGTATAGTTAGTTTATTCATCATTACAATACTCAATGATTCTTTGTGTCTATTGACCAATTCCTCATTAACCCCCTCCCTTCCCCCTCCTTCCCTTTTTTACCTCTAGTTTTCTAAAAGTTCAATGTATTACTGTGATTATTGTTTCTTTCTTTCTCTCTGTCTCTTTATTGTTCATTTGTTTATTTATGGATTCAGCTCCCAATTATGAGTGAAAACATGCAGTATTTCTCTTTCTGTACCTGGATTGCTTCACTGAGAATAATTTTCTCCAGGCTCATCCACATTGCTGCAAATGGTAGAATTTCATTCTTTTTTATGGCTGAATAGTATTCCATTGTGTAGATATACCATGATTTCCTTATTCAGTCATCCATCGATGGACATTTAGGTTGGTTCCATCGCCTAGCTATTGTAAATAGAGCTGCAGTAAACATGAGAGTGCAGGTATCCCTTCAACCTGATGTTTTCCAGACCTCTGGATATATCCCCAGTAGTGGGACTGCTGGATCATATGGAAGTTCTATCTGCAGCTGTTTAAGGAACCTCCATACTGTTCTCCATAATGGCTGTACTAATTTACAGTCCCACTAACAGTGCAGGAGGGTTCCTCTTTCTACACATCCTCACCAGCATTTGTTATTCTCTGTCTTTTTTATAATAGCCAGTCTGATTGGGGTGAGGTGAAACCTCATAGCGGTTTTGATTTGCATTTGCCTGATGATCAGTGATGTTGAACATTTTTCCATATACCTGTTGGCCATTTGTTTGTCTTCCTTTCAGAAATATCTATTCAGCTCCTTTGCCCATTTTCTAATTGGATTATTTGTTTTTTGCTGTAAAGCTGTCTAAGTTCTTTATATATTCTGGATATCAAACCCTTGTCAGATGCATAGTTTGCAAATATTTTCTCCCATTCTGTAGGATGTCTTTTCACTTTATTGATTGTTTCCTTTGCTGTGCAGAAGCTTTTTAACTTGATATAATCCCATTTGTTTATTTTTTCTTTTGTTGCCTGTGCCTTTCGGGTGTTATTCATAAAGTCATCGCCCAGTCCTAAATCCTAGAGTGTTTGCCCTAAGTTTTCTTCTAGGAGTTTTAAAGTTTCAGGCCTTAAAAGTCTCTAATCCATTTTGAGTTGATTTTGGTATATGGTGAGATGTATGGATCAAGTTTCATTCTTCTACAAGTGGATGTCCAGTTTTCCCAGCACCATTTATTGAAGAGGCAGTCTTTTCTCCAGTGTATGTTCTTGGTGCCCTTGTCAAAGATCAGTTGGTTGTAAATACGTGGAGAAGCAGGTTTTGAGGAGGAAAGGCAGGAGGTCAGTTTCGGGTATGCTAATGAACTATTCATTAGACATTCAAGTAAACATGAGTAAGCAGCCCTATATACAAGCCGTATATACTTCATGAAAGGATTCATATTATTTTTTAACTCCATTTTTCGACAAACTTTTTTTCACAAAGAAAAAGAAGAAACAGCAGAAGAAGCTGAGATAGATTAGTCCTGAAGAAAGGGAAACCAAGAATATGTGGAGCCATGCAAACCAAGAGAAAAAAAAATGTATCAAAGAGGAAGAGTGATTAACTATGTCATATGCTGCTGATAAATCAATAAAGACAGAGAATGGGAGCTGGTCATTGGTTATAGTGGTGTGAAGGCCATTGGTGACCTACACATGAGCAGATTTGTTGAGGAACGGGGTTAAAAACACCTGGCTGGGTTGGGGTTGTGAGAGAACAGAGTTAGACAATGAGCATAGACCATCTTTCAAGGAGCAAGAGGGCAGTAGCTAGTGAAGGGCATGAGATCTAAGAAAGATTTTGTCACTACTACTGGTGTTGTTTTTAAAGTGGGAGAAATAAGAGTGGGTTTGTACATTAGTGGGAATGATCTAGTGAAGTATTTCTCTATTTGTAGTAAAGAATCTTTTTCTTTCTTTTCTAAAATTCCTGATTATTTATAAACTGATACTTTCGTACAAAATAATAAAAATGATTGGCTAGAAAAATGAAATGAAAAAAAGATGTTAAAAATACAAGCCAGATTTTTCTATGGCAATTTCTCAAAAAAATAAAAATAGAATCATCATATGATTTGGCAAGTTCACTTATGGGTATACAGTAGGCCCTCCATATCCATGGCTTTTGCACCCATGGGTAAAACCAACCATGGATCAAAAATATTTAGAAAAATAAAAATAAAAAACAATACAGCTATAAAAAATGATACAAGTAAGAATACAGTATAACAACTATGTATCGTGATTAAAGACAGACGTAAGTGATGGGAGAGAGCAGAGATCTCCACACCTTTATTCCAAAACCCTCCGTTTGTACTTCACAAGAGTGAGAAATAGTTACGCTGTTAAAAAAAAAATAAGAAATAAGAATTTTTTTGTTGTTTTATTTTGGTTTTGTTTGTTTGTTTTTTGGCAGTTGGCCTGTACAGGGATCAAACCCCAGACCCTGGTGTTATCAGCACCACACTCTAACCAACTGAGCTAGCCGGTCAGCCTTTTTTTTACTAATTTTTAAAGAAATTATTCACTTTGGTCAACATACAGTTACTCTATCAACATCCTGTAAAAGTGTCTAAGTGCTTCCTCTCTAATTCTGTATGTATCTCCTCACAGTCTGGTAACTAGTTGATAGACTGGCCTCTGTGCACAGACAATGCCTTGATTAGCTGTTACTGCAACATGGTGGGTAGGAGAGATGGGAGAATTCCTGTAGTGGTGTTTGGAGTAGTGAGGTGGGATGGGACTAAGGGCACAGGTGGAGGGGTTGACTTAGTCCAGGACTGTGGATTTTTCATGTATACTAATAAGCAACAAGGCTGAGCATCTGGGTGCCAATGCTGTTGGGTGGGTGGGAGTGGAAGGAAATTGTGGGCAGATTCTCCTATGTGTTTCCATATCCTTGATGAAAGTAAGAAACAAGATTATTTGAAACTTTGGATGGGATAAAGTAAAAAGTCACCTAAAAGAGTGGGAGAGTGAGTAGATATGTTTGATTTAAAAAAAAAAAAAAAGGAAACATGGAAATGTACAGTATTAACCTAATACTGATTTGCTTCTTTTTAATGAAGAATATGCTAGTTATCCTAATTTGATCATCACACAGTACACACAGATATTCATATTCCACTCTGTATCCCACAACTATGTGTAACCAATTACATTTCAATAAAACAAAATTTCCCAATAAGGGAGAATAATTTATAAAATGATGCCCTTACATTCAAAGTTAAGAAAATATATATCATTTTCCATTTTACTGTTTAATTTTTCTTTCTTCCCCAATGAGATTCTAAATCTCAAACACAAAAGAAATATTATTTTTTTCATTCTAAAGATCTTACACTTACTCAGCTGATAGGAAATATTCATAAAGTGGTATCAAATGTGAATATTTCTGAATTAATGTTTGCTATAAATTATTTACAGTTTGTTCTTCTGTTGATCTTTATGCTGCTTTTATAATTATTGTGATATTCTGATTAGACATGCAGGGATCACTTCTTTTTGTGTTTATTATTTTATAGCATTGCCACCATGGGCTATGTGTAAACAAAGAAATGGAAACACGTCCTGTAGATGGTGAATGGGGACCCTGGGGACCTTACAGTTCTTGTTCAAGAACATGTGGAGGTGGAATCAAAAGCACAACCAGACTCTGTAATCGTCCCGAGTATGTCTTTTTTATGTCACTGTAAATTAAGATTATCTCAAGGCACCTGAAAGTAAACATCAGTTTCATTCACTTCTAAAACTGGAGGTCAGTCTGTAAGTTTCTGAGATTCAGAAAACTTCTGGAATACTTTAAGCCATATTGCTTTATATCTTGGTAGATTCAGATCTTAAAAAATAAAACTAAACAGCTTGAAATTTATTATTGAAACTGAGACAGAACTGTGTCCTTTATATTTTTTTCTAATTTAGTATAAATTTGAGAAATGCTTATAAATATAAATGGCAATAATATAATAGCATTTTCACGTTTACTGTGTTCCTAATGAAAGATCCTGGCTCCTCTCACTTATGTTTTGGCTGTCCTTGGCAACATGAAAATTTATAGTTTGGTTACCAGGTTCTTACTGTTTTGTGTAATTTGACATGTCATATTTTCTTTCTCTGCTTCTCATGTTTATAAATGCATCATTGTCTTCAGCCTTAACTCCCCCTCCTCAAACTATAAAAGAGCTTAGAGATTCCATAAAGATTTTGTTTCTGTTATATATGATATGTTAGTTGGTTAGCAATATGATTGTCTTTACTTACAGTTTTATTAACAAGCATTTTTAATGAAGAAATGTGACATACTCTGAGTAAAATCTCACATAATTTATTTAAATTTTAGAACAGCTAAATTATGCTAGAAGTCTTTATTTTTCAAAACTTCTGAAAAAAGGAGTTTTTATTTTTCAGCATAAGTTGAAATAGAGACGGATATGAATTGATACCATGAAACTCCTTGAACTGAGTGATAAGTAGGATATGCATGACAAAGATACATATATATTTCCTTTTTATTTAACATGATGTCTTTCTTCATTATTGTCCTTGGCTTACTACATGTCCTTTTTTTTTTTTCTTACAGAAAATGAACAAACCCTTTTTTGAAGTTTTAAAACATATTCCCATCATTAGTTTCATGTTAGTTAGTCTAGTTGAGAATAAAATGTCATTTCTGCCCTCCAGACCTCAGTGTCCCCTCTAGGGTAGATGTTTTTATAGATCATTATCCGTAGAATTGCTTAAAACTCCTATTTCATACTTCTGATGAAAAGTGTTAGTGGAACATCAGTGGTTTTTCAGATCCTGGAAGAGAATGGAACAGTTTTAGAAGTAAAGGGCAGAAATACTGTTGTACTGACGTGCTTTAAAATGTAATGAATTTGACTAGGCCAAGAAACGGAGGCAAGTACTGTGTGGGCCGCAGGATGAAATTTCGATCATGTAATACTGATTCATGTCCAAAAGGCAAGCAAGACTTTCGAGAGAAGCAGTGCTCTGATTTTGATGGTAAACATTTCAACATCAATGGCCTTTCCCCTAATGTGAGGTGGCTTCCAAAGTACAGTGGGAGTAAGTAATGATAGCATTTCTTTGTTGTAAAAATTTTTTGAGACATAGAAACATGCAGCTTTATTATTGTACACCAAAACTTTGAATTTTATTATTATTTTTTTTTACAGTTGCCATAAAAGATCGTTGTAAACTCTATTGTCGGGTTGCTGGAACCACTAAGTTCTACCAGTTGAAGGACAGGGTTGAGGATGGTACTCCTTGTGGAACTGAAACTAATGACATCTGTGTTCAAGGCCTGTGTCGGGTAAGTAAACTCTCTAAGTTTCAATTATATTTACAGTGACTTTAATTATAATATTTTTCTTTTATTTCTCTAACCAAATATTATTTATGTTACTTCAGAACATGTTCTTATGAATTCCAATAAAATGACCTTTGATATCATGCTATCTATAAGTTAGATTTGTTTCTAGGCAGTTCTCTGTCATCCACAGTGACCCACAGAGCATTAAGATAAATTTGCTGATTTTTTTGTGTGTGTGGTACTCAGAATCAAGATGGCAATGAGGTCAGCTTTCTAAAAAGGTAAAAATAATAGGATACAAGGGTTGTAAAGTGCTTTGCTGCTTTAGATGTGACTGTCTGTGGTGACTTTTCCCGTCTGTGTTAAATCCATTGATTCCTCCCTCCCTCTCTCCAGCCCTCTGTCTTGTACTTCTTATGTACATTCAACAGACATTGATTGAGTAGCTACTAGATGTCAGATATTGTTCCAGTCATCATGATGAAAGGATGGAACAGAGAACCTACTTCCAAGATAGTCACAGGTTGCTGGGGGAGATAGGCAGGTAAACACTGAGAATGTAGCACTGTGGGGTCTTCTGCAAGGTGGCAGGGATGTTGAGCAAGAAGTGTCTTATTTTATGGGGAGGTAAGTATAGGATTCAAAGAATCCCTCATGGAGGTTGTGAGGCTTGTGCTAAATATTGAAGATAAGTAGAAAGGTAAAGGAGCAGGGCTGGAGTTAGGCACTGGTGGATGGTTGTTATGTGCATTCTTTTTCTGAACTTCTTGGAGGGAGATCTGATTTGAAGTTGAGAGAGAGATGTGATTTGATTTGCATAATAACATCTTCAGAAAGTACTGGGTTAGAAAATTGGAGGTAGGTGGGCTATTTAGCAGAATTCTAGGTGAGAGCAGAAGAGACTGAAATAAAGCACAAACATTGCAGATGATCTTGAGAACGGATGGTGAGTTTCAGAACTAGCATAATGAATGCTGTCTAAAGAATATAAGTGTAATCTTTTGAACTTTTCTTTGGTTAAGGTAGAGCTTAATAAGACCAATTTTATNCTAGCATTTACATTGTGTTATAAGTAATCTAGAGATGATTTAAAGATTATGTTAGGATGTGAGTAGATTGTATGCAAATACTATGCCATTTTTCCTAAGTGACTGGAGCATCCATGGATTTTGGTATCCACAGAGGTTCCTGGACACAATCCTTCTCAGATACTGAGGGACAACTGTATATCCAAACATTGGAAAGCAAGGTTTCAAACAGATATTTGTACACCCATGTTTATAGCAGCATTATTCACAATAGCCAAAAGGTGGATGTTCTACAGCAGCCTAGTTTCATTGGGACACTGCATTACCAAACCTGAGGTGATCTTCAAGTTGGAGCAAGTTGCAGAGGCATGGACAACAGAAGAGTCCCCAAACCAGAACCCACAAGATGTCCAGATAGTGCCCTAATTAAGAAAAGACAAGAAAGTCATCGTACACATTTGTGGCAAGTTGTAATCACCAACAGCAAAACATCAACTGAGACGAGAGTTGAGTTAGGGAAAACATTTCATTTGCTCTCAAGCCGTATTTCAAATATGATTATAAAAATGGAAACTATTCAGGAACGAGGCCTGAGGAGTTTAATGTATGTCAGAATGCAGTTCTTCCTAGAGAGCCTGATGAGACGAATGATGGAGAAAAACCTGATGACCATAATGTAACGGAAAATCACACAAGTATCATGAGCACCTTAGTCAGCATCCCAAGATTCAAAGTCAGCAGTGGGCTTTTGAATATGTGAAAAAAGGGAAAGCCTTCAACACAGAGGCAATATTATTCACACGTGAAATAAGAGGCTTCATATGGGAGAGATCACATGTAAATATAGTGAGTATGGGATAGCCTTTATAAGTCAGTTCTTACTGCTCAGGACATAACTGAGGTATTGAGGAAAACTTTTCAGTGTGATGTATGTGGGAAAACCTTTTATAAAAAGTCTAAACTCACTCAACATCAAAAAACGCACACAGCAGAGAAACCCTATAATTGTGAATGTGGCAAATCCTTCACAAAGAAATTATCCCTTACAATCCATAAGAGGATGTACACAGGGGGGAAGCTATATGCAAATAGTAAATATGGAAAACCATTAACCAGAAGTTACTCCTCAGGAGGCATTGGAGAATTCACAGAGGTNAATATGGAAAACCATTAACCAGAAGTTACTCCTCAGGAGGCATTGGAGAATTCACAGAGGTCAGAAACCATACGAATGCACAGAATGTAGGAACTCTTCCGTAACTTATCCCTCAAAGCACATATAAGAATTCACACAGTGGAAAGACCCTATGAATTTAATGAGTGTGGAAAAACCTTTCACCAGAAGTTAGACCTCAGCACTCATCAGAGAATTCACACGGGAGACGTCCTATGCATGTAATGAATGTGGAAAAGCCTTTCAGGTAAAGTCAAATGACCACAGGCGTCAGAGAATTCACACAGGTGAGAAATCATGTGAAGATAATGAATGTGGGAGATCTTTCTGTGATAAGTCGGCCCTTAATAGACATAAGGAATTTACACGGGGGAAGGACTCTGAATGTAATGAATGTGGAAAACCCTCTCATGAGAAGTCACTCCTTAGCAGGCATCACAGAATTCACACAGGTGAGAAACCGCATGAATGTAAAGGATGTGGGAAAACTTTCTACATTAAATCTCCATATTCGTCAGAGAACTCACATCGGTGAAAAACCATATGAATGTGAAGAATGTAGGAAATCTTTCTGCCAGAAGTCAGACCTCAGTAGGCATGAAAGAATTCACACGGGAAAAGCCCCCATGAATGTAACAAATGTGGAAAAACCTTTCTCCTTGGGAGCAGGAGGATGGCAGAAGGCCGCCGTGATTGAACTCTTCCGTAACTTATCCCTCAAAGCACATATAAGAATTCACACAGTGGAAAGACCCTATGAATTTAATGAGTGTGGAAAAACCTTTCACCAGAAGTTAGACCTCAGCACTCATCAGAGAATTCACACGGGAGACGTCCTATGCATGTAATGAATGTGGAAAAGCCTTTCAGGTAAAGTCAAATGACCACAGGCGTCAGAGAATTCACACAGGTGAGAAATCATGTGAAGATAATGAATGTGGGAGATCTTTCTGTGATAAGTCGGCCCTTAATAGACATAAGGAATTTACACGGGGGAAGGACTCTGAATGTAATGAATGTGGAAAACCCTCTCATGAGAAGTCACTCCTTAGCAGGCATCACAGAATTCACACAGGTGAGAAACCGCATGAATGTAAAGGATGTGGGAAAACTTTCCACATTAAATCTCCATATTCGTCAGAGAACTCACATCGGTGAAAAACCATATGAATGTGAAGAATGTAGGAAATCTTTCTGCCAGAAGTCAGACCTCAGTAGGCATGAAAGAATTCACACGGGAAAAGCCCCCATGAATGTAACAAATGTGGAAAAACCTTTCTCCTTGGGAGCAGGAGGATGGCAGAAGGCCGCCGTGATTAAAGACAGACGTAAGTGATGGGAGAGAGCAGAGATCTCCACACCTTTATTCCAAAGCCCTCCGTTTGTACTTCACAAGAGTGAGAAATAGTTACGCTGTTAAAAAAAAAAATAAGAAATAAGAATTTTTTTGTTGTTTTATTTTGGTTTTGTTTATTTGTTTTTTGGCAGTTGGCCTGTACAGGGCTCAAACCCCAGACCTTGGTGTTATCAGCACCACACTCTAACCAACTGAGCTAGCCGGTCAGCCTTTTTTACTAATTTTTAAAGAAATTATTCACTTTGGTCAACATACAGTTACTCTATCAACATCCTGTAAAAGTGTCTAAGTGCTTCCTCTCTAATTCTGTATGTATCTCCTCACAGTCTGGTAACTAGTTGATAGACTGGCCTCTGTGCACAGACAATGCCTTGATTAGCTGTTACTGCAACATGGTGGGTAGGAGAGATGGGAGAATTCCTGTAGTGGTGTTTGGAGTAGTGAGGTGGGATGGGACTAAGGGCACAGGTGGAGGGGTTGACTTAGTCCAGGAATGTGGATTTTTCATGTATACTAATAAGCAACAAGGCTGAGCATCTGGGTGCAAATGCTGTTGGGTGGGTGGGAGTGGAAGGAAATTGTGGGCAGATTCTCCTATGTGTTTCCATATCCTTGATGAAAGTAAGAAACAAGATTATTTGAAACTTTGGATGGGATAAAGTAAAAAGTCACCTAAAAGAGTGGGAGAGTGAGTAGATATGTTTGATTTTAAAAAAAAAAGAAACATGGAAATGTACAGTAGTAACCTAATACTGGTTTGCTTCTTTTTAATGAAGAATATGCTAGTTATCCTAATTTGATCATCACAGTACACACAGATATTGATATTCCACTCTGTATCCCACAACTATGTGTAACCAATTACATTTCAATAAAACAAAATTTCCCAATAAGGGAGAATAATTTATAATATGATGCCCTTACATTCAAAGTTAAGAAAATATATATCATTTTCCATTTTACTGTTTAATTTTTCTTTCTTTCCCAATGAGATTCTAAATCTCAAACACAAAAGAAATATTATTTTTTTCATTCTAAAGATCTTACACTTACTCAGCTGATAGGAAATATTCATAAAGTGGTATCAAATGTGAATATTTCTGAATTAATGTTTGCTATAAATTATTTACAGTTTGTTCTTCTGTTGATCTTTATGCTGCTTTTATAATTATTGTGATATTCTGATTAGACATGCATCGTATAACTTCGTATAATGTATGCTATACGAAGTTATTACGTTAGTTTTACTACATGGTGAATGATATCAGATAACCCCCTTTTTCATACTCTGATCTCTCTAATTATTAAAAAAAAAAACAAAAAAAAAAAACAGCAAGGCCTATTTGAATTGTTTCTGGAGGATGCCCACAAACTGCACCTGTACATAGTACATTCTATTCTGAGATATGTTTTTGTCCACTTCTAATATGGCTTTCTCATATTGAATGATTTATTCTAATGAAGGGCACAAAGCATTTTTACTGCTAATAAGATTGGTTTTAGGATTCATTCATTGAGCAAAGATTTATCAAGGGCCTGCTCTGTCGGGCAGGAAAAATATTGGAGGTTTTGTGGTTAGAGAGGGCAGATTGCAATTTAAAATATGGTAGTTAGGATATACCTTATATAAAGTTACCAAATGAGCTGTCTTAAAGGAGGCTGAAGGAGTTAACTGTGAGGATATCTGGGGTAAGCAAGTTCCAGACCAAGGGAGCAGCTGAGCTTCTAAGTCTGGAGTATGCCTGGAGTGTTCAAGGAAGAACAGGGAAGACATTGTATGTAGAGTAGAGTGAAGAGAGAGAGACTTGAAGGAAGTAACTGGAAGAATATTATGTAGGGCCTTGCAGGCCATTGTGAGACTTTGTATTTCCTCAAAGTAAAATAATTAAAGGATTTGAGCAGTCACCACCTGATTTGATTTAGTTTAAAAACTAAGTTTAAAAAGAGTTATTCTGGCAGCTGTGTTGAGGGGAAACTGGGAGGGGCAAGAGTGGAAACACAGGACATCTACTTAGGGAGCCACTGCAGTGATAGAGGTGAGAGGAGCTGGTGGCTCAAGCCAGAGCAGTAGCAGTCAGGATGATTAAAGGTCAATTTTTGATATATTGTAGAAGGAACTAGAACATTTATTAATGTATTAGATGTGGAATCTTCAAGGAGGAGGAAGAGACAAGATGACTGTAGATTTTTGGCTGAACAACTTAGATCAACTCAGGAGAAGCAGGGTTTTTTTAAATTATACATACATTTGGGGTATAACACTGATTTTCAATAACTGTGTAGAGTGTGTGGTGGTTAGATCAGTATAGTTAGTTTATTCATCATTACAATACTCAATGATTCTTTGTGTCTATTGACCAATTCCTCATTAACCCCCGAAAGATCCTGGCTCCTCTCACTTATGTTTTGGCTGTCCTTGGCAACATGAAAATTTATAGTTTGGTTACCAGGTTCTTACTGTTTTGTGTAATTTGACATGTCATATTTTCTTTCTCTGCTTCTCATGTTTATAAATGCATCATTGTCTTCAGCTGAATAAGTACTGAAACATAACTCCCCCTCATCAAAGTATAAAAGAGCTTAGAGATTCCATAAAGATTTTGTTTCTGTTATATATGATATGTTAGTTGGTTAGCAATATGATTGTCTTTACTTACAGTTTTATTAACAAGCATTTTTAATGAAGAAATGTGACATACTCTGAGTAAAATCTCACATAATTTATTTAAATTTTAGAACAGCTAAATTATGCTAGAAGTCTTTATTTTTCAAAACTTCTGAAAAAAGGAGTTTTTATTTTTCAGCATAAGTTGAAATAGAGACGGATATGAATTGATACCATGAAACTCCTTGAACTGAGTGATAAGTAGGATATGCATGACAAAGATACATATATATTTCCTTTTTATTTAACATGATGTCTTTCTTCATTATTGTCCTTGGCTTACTATATGTCCTTTTTTTTTTTTTTTCTTACAGAAAATGAACAAACCCTTTTTTGAAGTTTTAAAACATATTCCCACATGTCCTTTTTTTTTTTTCTTACAGAAAATGAACAAACCCTTTTTTGAAGTTTTAAAACATATTCCCATCATTAGTTTCATGTTAGTTAGTCTAGTTGAGAATAAAATGTCATTTCTGCCCTCCAGACCTCAGTGTCCCCTCTAGGGTAGATGTTTTTATAGATCATTATCCGTAGAATTGCTTAAAACTCCTATTTCATACTTCTGATGAAAAGTGTTAGTGGAACATCAGTGGTTTTTCAGATCCTGGAAGAGAATGGAACAGTTTTAGAAGTAAAGGGCAGAAATACTGTTGTACTGACGTGCTTTAAAATGTAATGAATTTGACTAGGCCAAGAAACGGAGGCAAGTACTGTGTGGGCCGCAGGATGAAATTTCGATCATGTAATACTGATTCATGTCCAAAAGGCAAGCAAGACTTTCGAGAGAAGCAGTGCTCTGATTTTGATGGTAAACATTTCAACATCAATGGCCTTTCCCCTAATGTGAGGTGGCTTCCAAAGTACAGTGGGAGTAAGTAATGATAGCATTTCTTTGTTGTAAAAATTTTTTGAGACATAGAAACATGCAGCTTTATTATTGTACACCAAAACTTTGAATTTTATTATTATTTTTTTTTACAGTTGCCATAAAAGATCGTTGTAAACTCTATTGTCGGGTTGCTGGAACCACTAAGTTCTACCAGTTGAAGGACAGGGTTGAGGATGGTACTCCTTGTGGAACTGAAACTAATGACATCTGTGTTCAAGGCCTGTGTCGGGTAAGTAAACTCTCTAAGTTTCAATTATATTTACAGTGACTTTAATTATAATATTTTTCTTTTATTTCTCTAACCAAATATTATTTATGTTACTTCAGAACATGTTCTTATGAATTCCAATAAAATGACCTTTGATATCATGCTATCTATAAGTTAGATTTGTTTCTAGGCAGTTCTCTGTCATCCACAGTGACCCACAGAGCATTAAGATAAATTTGCTGATTTTTTTGTGTGTGTGGTACTCAGAATCAAGATGGCAATGAGGTCAGCTTTCTAAAAAGGTAAAAATAATAGGATACAAGGGTTGTAAAGTGCTTTGCTGCTTTAGATGTGACTGTCTGTGGTGACTTTTCCCGTCTGTGTTAAATCCATTGATTCCTCCCTCCCTCTCTCCAGCCCTCTGTCTTGTACTTCTTATGTACATTCAACAGACATTGATTGAGTAGCTACTAGATGTCAGATATTGTTCCAGTCATCATGATGAAAGGATGGAACAGAGAACCTACTTCCAAGATAGTCACAGGTTGCTGGGGGAGATAGGCAGGTAAACACTGAGAATGTAGCACTGTGGGGTCTTCTGCAAGGTGGCAGGGATGTTGAGCAAGAAGTGTCTTATTTTATGGGGAGGTAAGTATAGGATTCAAAGAATCCCTCATGGAGGTTGTGAGGCTTGTGCTAAATATTGAAGATAAGTAGAAAGGTAAAGGAGCAGGGCTGGAGTTAGGCACTGGTGGATGGTTGTTATGTGCATTCTTTTTCTGAACTTCTTGGAGGGAGATCTGATTTGAAGTTGAGAGAGAGATGTGATTTGATTTGCATAATAACATCTTCAGAAAGTACTGGGTTAGAAAATTGGAGGTAGGTGGGCTATTTAGCAGAATTCTAGGTGAGAGCAGAAGAGACTGAAATAAAGCACAAACATTGCAGATGATCTTGAGAACGGATGGTGAGTTTCAGAACTAGCATAATGAATGCTGTCTAAAGAATATAAGTGTAATCTTTTGAACTTTTCTTTGGTTAAGGTAGAGCTTAATAAGACCAATTTTATCTCCCTGTAACCAAATATCCATTACCAGTTACCTATGTGTTAAAGGTCTTCCACCTAAAGAGCTAATGAGATGTTCAGAGACACATCAGAAATAGCTTTAATACTAGAAAAAGTTTACTTCAAGGCGTGAAAAACTTGTGTTTTATCTAAATTGATAGTATAAAGTCATGTGAAATGAAAAAATATGAAAATTATCTGAACGTATAGATCAATACTACTTTCAGAAAATATATGGTTACAATTTTTATTTTTAAATTATTTGACTTCTGTATGAAAGAATTCACGATGCTTATGAAATTTTCTTTTCTGATCACTAGAGGAGTGTTCCAAATAACTGAAAGTTATCATATCATATGCAGGGGACAGCTTCTGCATGAAGAACAGCTGCACTTGTTTTTTAAAACCCCTAGAACAAACCATTTACTTTCATACTTATTTATTTATTCATTCATTCATTAATTTTTCATTTATTCTTTTAATAAACACTTTATCTTTCTGGGTGTTAGTGTTGGAGAAAATAAAAGGTTTTTTTTTTCTTCAAATATTTATTTAAAGCTGAGTTTATTTCCAGAGTTCTAAGATCATGAGTTAAAAAATACATATATATCATTTGAAAGACATCTTTTTGGAGTATTCTAATGTGTTATTTACATAATCATACTTTTGTCTCTTCGAATTACATTTCTTTAAAGAGTAGTTTTCAAATTATAGTGGGTATAGAAATCACTGTCAGTATTACAATGAAGATTCATAGGGTCTCTTATCTCCAAGGATTTTAATTCAGAAAATCTGGGAATCTGCCTTTTTAAATACCACCCTGTGGATGGTCCTTTGAAAAACACTGCTTATAGACCATGTAAACAGATACATGAAAATATTGATGAACAAGATTAGTAGATATTCTGAAAAAATCTGTGCCCAGTCTCTTGTTAATTGAAAGAATATTTTTGAAATGAACTTTGTAAACTTTAAGGCATCATGCTTATGATTAATAATTTTTATAGTAATGATTGTAATAATTGTGTTTTGAAGCAAGCTGGCTGTGATCACGTGTTAAACTCCAAAGTCAGAAGAGACAAATGTGGAGTGTGTGGTGGGGATAACTCTACATGCAAGACATTGGCAGGTGTCTTCAATAGTGCTCATTATGGTAAGCTGTGTATTGGTTTTTAGCTTTCCCTTTTATTTGATACAATAATGGAGTATGTAATGAAGATATAATAGTAATGGTTTATTATTGTTTTATCTACTCTATACCCTTAGTCCAAAATGATTGTTAAAGAAAAATTTTCTAAATTTTTAAAAATTAAAGCTTATGGGCCGGCCCCGTGGCGCACTCGGGAGAGTGCAGTGCTGGGAACGCAGCGACGCTCCCGCCGCGGATTCAGATCCTATATAGGGATGGCTGGTGCGCTCACTGGCTGAGCGCTGTACAGGCAACACCACACCAAGGGTTGTGATCCACTTACCAGTCACGAAAAAGACAAAAAAAAAAAATTAAATCTTATACCAGATGCATCCTTGAATTAATGAATTCACCTGCCCAAGGCAAATCTGACTTAAAAATATATTAGGTGCACTTATTCGAGTAAACCCAGTGCTATTTGACTGTGAGGTGTGAATAATTCCCCAATTAATGAAGTGCTTTTACTGATGTCCTGTAATCTAAAATGTATCTATTTATGATTTTTTTTCTAAGGTACTTGCTTTCAACTATTTTTATTATTTAAACTTTTTATTTTGGTATGATCTGGCCTATCTTTCTGTTTCTTATTAACAGTATGTTGAAAATGTTGATGGAAGGGGCCGGCCCAGTGGCGCACTGCTACAGTGCGCTGCTTGGGAAGTGTGGTGTCGCTCCCGCCGAGGGTTTGGATCCCACATACAGACCGGTTCCCGCTCACTGGCTGAGCAAGGTGTGGGAGCAACACCGAGGGTTGCGATCCCGTTGCCGGTCCCGGTCCAGTACGGGCGCGACACTGAGGGTTGTGATCCGTTGCCGGACATGAAAAAAGACAAAAAGGAAAAAAAAAATGTTGATGGAAGGGGCCGGCCCAGTGGCGCACTGCTACAGTGCGCCGCTTGGGAAGTGTGGTGTCGCTCCCGCCGAGGGTTTGGATCCCACATACAGACCGGTTCCCGCTCACTGGCTGAGCAAGGTGTGGGAGCAACACCGAGGGTTGCAATCCCGTTGCCGGTCCCCGGTCCGGTACGGGGGCAACACTGAGGGTTGCGATCCGTTGCCGGACACGGAAAAAGACAAAAGACAAAAAAAAAAAAAAAAAGCTGTTGTGTTCAAGAAAGACAGAAAAAGAGCTGTGGTTTCATATTTTTAGGTATCAATAAATTTTGTCCCAGTATATTGTCCTTTAGCTATTTATAGAGAATAGACTTAATTTATGTTATTTATTTTTAGAAATCGGTTTTCAAGTTTAGAGAATTTCATTTAGGCACAAACAAGAAAAGAATGTTTCCCAAACCTTTTTCTTCTATCTATCTGAGAATATTTTAATGTTGACATCTGTAATTTACCAAGCTGGAGTAGATGGTAGTGTAGAGCTGACATTGAGAAAGTGTTTGCTTCACATTAATAAGATGTGAAATATTTCCCAAATAATTCATGCTTATAACTGGGAATCTGAGTCTGTAATGAACAGCTTGTCTCAGGAATTACATCTGGCATTAAAAAAGTCAAATGTAAAGGGGAAAACTGCTTAATGGGTATAGGGTTTCCTTCTGAGATGGTGAAAAAATTTCGGACCTAGATAGAGGTGGTGGTTGCACAACATTGTGAATGTACTAAATGTCATTAAATTGTTCACTTAATAATGGTTATTTTTACGTTAGGTCAATTTCATCTCAATAAAAAATATTTAAAAAATTCTCTCCCCTCCCAAATCAAATGTAAATATTTTAATTTATTATTATTTTATACTTTGTAGAAATTATTTTTCTTTTGCTAAAAGTATTACCTAGGTGCACATACATAGATGTGTGCTACTATATTGTAGATAAATAATTTGAGGTCTCAGGTTCCAAGTGTAGATATATATCTTCCTGGGAATGAACCACAGGTTCTGCCTGAATTTAAAAATTAGAAATGTTCACCAATAAAGTAGTAGTATAGTTTGTGAAAGAAATACAAGTGGAAATATTAAAGTCTAATTTTAAGTGAGGAAAACAAACGTGAAGTCACTAAAAGGGATTTTTAAAAACGTTTATGTTTATGAACTTTGGTAACTAAAAGTAATGAAATCTGAAGAATTTTTCTCAGTCACTAAAGTTTTGTTTATTTCTCTTAGATTTAATGTAATCAATAATTCCTAAAATAAGCCTATCCACTTTTGATAAAGTACAGATTCTTAGGATAATGGAATTTCTATTTCATAGGAGAAATATTTAACTTTATGTTTTTGTCATTGATTCAATATAATATATAAAGACAGTTATACTAGTCCACATATGCACAGAAACGCCAATTTATTTTGCAATGATCCAAGATTGCTTTGTTAGAGGGGTGTTGTATTTATTATGAAATTTAGCCATAGGTAACTTGTGTACTTTGTGAGGTTTCCTGGAATGCCAAATTTATTTTGCAATGATCCAAGATTGCTTTGTTAGAGGGGTGTTGCATTTATTATGAAATTTAGCCATAGGTAACTTGTGTACTTTGTGAGGTTTCCTGGAATGCCAAACAAATGTTTTCCAAAGAGGTTATTGTTCCACCGAATGGTATACCATAAGTAAAGCAAGCAAAAAGCATTTGGTTAATATGGGGGTTTTATTAGTATTAAATTTTAAATAGTACACATCCTCTTGAAAATTAAAAATAAATAGCAGAGTCAGTTACATGCAATTTATGTACTTTTGCAAACATTTCCCAGATTTGATCCTGATTAAAAGCCTGTGAGGAAGAAATTTTTATTATCTCTGTTTTACAGGTTAGGAAACTGAGCAAGAGGTTCGTCAAAGATCACAGATCAGTTAACTGGAACAACTTGAACTTAAACCCGTTATTTTAACACCACGTTGGTCTTTTTACTACCACACTACTGTGGACACCATGTAATTTTGTATTTAAAAGGAACAAATTATGAATACACACTATATTATTGTTTTATGTATATATAAGTATAGTATAGAGATAAATATACACACATATACATATATGATACCTTATATTAATGGCTGTCACTGGGAAAGAGAACAGGAAGGGAGCATGAACGAAGAGGGAGATAGGAATATTATTCTGAAAAGAAGATATTCACATATGCATCAACAGTGATGGAGTATCTCTGTGAGACTGATCCAGCTGTTTGTATAGTGAATAGTACAGTCATTGCATGGCCTTTTAGAATATTGACCCTAGAGTTTTAAAGCTTTGTACCTTTTTTCCAAGATAAGCATGAATGAAATGTTGCAGCAGTCTGGCTCCTCTTTCTTTCCGCACCATCGATGACCATGATTGACTTAACTGATCTGTCTGCTGTGACTATGACTTCTTTCTGCTTTTCCACTTCCTGTATGTCCCTTCTGAAATTCCATGTTTCATGGAAGAAGATAACATTCTCAGATTAAAAAATATAGGGTGAATCAATTTTAATATCTTTGGCTGATGTGCTGAAATTTTCTTACTTATAGGTTAGATCCTACATTACAGTAAAATAAAGTTTATTTCCTTAATATTGATTTACACTTACATTTTTTAATTTCAAAAATGGATTTGATTTTAAAAAGTTTAAAGAGTATTTTCTATACTGCTAGCAGGTTTTACTATTTAATGAGTGATATTTTATTCTTTTACAGCATTGTCTGACACTCAAGGGACTTTTCTTTTGAATGGAAATTTTGTTGTAAGTATGTCAAAAAGAGAAATCAACATAAAAGGAGCTATTTTTGAATACAGTGGATCAAACAACTCAGTTGAAAGAATTAATAGTACCAATCGACTAGAAGAAGACATTTTTTTGCAGGTAAATTCTCAGTAGTCATTAATAAGACTTAGCTTTAATCATATTGCTAAACTGTACTGGTTAAGTACTTAGCATATATTATTAAATATAAATGTGATGTCTTAAGAATATATCTTTTATGAATTAATTGTATGTTCCTTTGTATCTTTATTGAGGTGTTGTGTGTGGGTAATTTATACAACCCTGATGTACATTATTCCTTCAATGTCCCTGTGGAAGAAAGGAATGACTTGTTCACATGGGATCCATATGGACCATGGCAAGACTGTACCAGAATGTGTCAAGGTACACTGGTTTTAAACAGGATGCAAAAGTCTGTGCGTGCTGGTATCTTTGGGTACTTTTGAGTCCGGCTGCCTGTGGAAACCACCCCACTGTCCACACACAGATATACAAAGGTTGCCCATCTTTTTTCCTTCCTAAATTTCTCCTCACCCACTCTTTCTGGTTCTTATACTTAACAGCCCCATTTAACTCTACCCTTTTCAGCATTCTCCATTACTGCTCCTTTCCTTTCACGTTCTTACCCTCTTTTTCATAGTCACAGAAAGTTTCTCTGACTTGTATCCTGCATCCCAGTGAAATATTTGCCCTTTTCTCCACTTGTCCCCACACACTCTTTCTTAGCAACCTGTCTCTCTCTTTTAGTGTTGAGATATCATGCTTTCATTCTTTTATTTCCCTTTTCTGCCCACGAGAAAATATATTAGTACTGATTGCTGGATAACTGAAAAGAGCAGAGTGGGAAATGGAGAAGCAGGGAAATTTACAGTAGGGAAAGAAAACAGAAAGACTGGAGCCTGTGTAATCTGTAATTTGAGAGACTTAATTGTGCAATGCTGTGTTTGTTCAATGCAGTAAACATTTCCTGAGGGATGACTTTGTTTCAGATTTATTAATGAGACCCTAATTCTGCATTCAAGTTTTAAAGTCTAGTGGATGAAACAGAAGCATAAGTAGATTTCTTAATTTAAAATGGTGAGTGCAGCTCTACAGAGATGCACAGAGCAGACCCCAGAAAAGATGGGAAAAGGAGGGAGCAGTTTGTGGGGAGATTGAAGCTGAAGATATAGAGAAGTTTGTGTAGATTGGGAAAGTTGCTCTCATGGAGAATAGAGAAAAGGTTTGGGAATTAGGGAAGCAGTGGGTCAGAGGAGCAGCAGCTGAAAACAGTGTAGAGGTGAGCTCATGAGAGAAGGTGTGTGGCCAGAGGCAGTGACAACAGATGATGAGATGATGAGGGACAATCCAACAATCTGAGCCGACAAGGTGCCAGAGCAGCTGTGTTGTTGCACTCAAGAGACACAGTGTTGGTCCTGTGGTGTTGGGACAGCGCTGCTCAGAAGGTTGAATGGGGACAGGCATTCCTGTTACTGTTCGGCAGTGTCTGGGCGAAGGGATATGGTAGGAGACTATGTAAGGTTGACTGGGATAAATGCTAGAGGCAGAAAAGCAAACACAGAAGAAGGAAGAATCCATTTTGATGGAAAGGCCCTGAATGCCCTTTACCGAAGAGAATTGGAGTTCTGGGGGTTGGGATCAGCATTCCAGCACTGAGTGTGCAAGCTGGTCTGTGGCTGTGGATATGCGGAGGACAAATCCAAGTAACAAGAGAACGAAGGAATATTCTATCACGTGGTGAACACACCAAGAAAAGAATAGCAAGATTCAAAATGAAAGGTTGGACAAAACATGGTGAGAGATGGTTTGGAAGTTCAAACCGGGAGAGGTGTCTTAAGCAATCACGTGCAGGCGAAAAGAAACAATTGGTTCTTTTGCCACCCAGTATACTATGATTATATTTTTGTGTGTGTGTAACTTTTTGGTGTCTCTAAACTTAAATTCACTTAGTTTTATTTCTTTACTTGTTTTTCATCGTAGTGAAAATTATCAGTCCCCAAACGTTTTTTCCAGAACTATAAATTTTGTCTTCATATTTTCAAGCACATTATTTAATTTATCAGTTTCAATTTTTCTTTACTTTATCTTTTGCTACTGTGGCCCTCTTTTCTCTTGCTCTAATTTGTTGGTGTTGCTCTTTAGGCTTGGTAGGTGACTTTCATTTTGAGATTTCCCTTCATTATTATCCTGGGAGTTTTCTTCTTATTGGATGTCACTGGGGAGAAGTCCCAACGTCATTGTCAGCTTATCTATTTTCTTGGGTTAAACAGTCCCCCGAGAGAGGAATTCTCCCATTCTTCGGAATTGGATTCCTTGTTTTCTATATCCCATGAATCCCTTTGTTTGATTTACTTCCCTCATTGGATGGAACATATTTCTCAGTACTTTACTGAGAAAGAAAGGTAGTTTTTAAAAGTTTTCTCATATCTGAAAATGGCATTATTCTATTCTTACACTTGAGTGATTGGTAATTTAGATGGTATGAATTCTAAAGTAGATTATTTTCCTTTAGAATTTTGAAAGCCTTATTTTTTGACTTGTTTTCCAATTTCCTTGCTTGTATGTGGCATTTTCTATTATGGAAGTTTTATGGGTCCTCTTTAATGGTGTGAAATGTCAGGACAATGTGCCTTGATGTGGTGGGTGTTTTGTGTTTTGTTTTGGGGTTTTTTTTGTTGTTGTTCTATCTATTTTCCTGGGTAATTAGGATATCATTCCAAATTGGAAACATAGATTCTTTGTCTTGAGAAATTTCATTGCATTTTTTTTGATAATTCACATAAATTTTTCTCTTCTACTTTCTGAAACTTGTATTATTTGAATGTTTGACCTCCTAAATTGATCGCTTATTCTCTAATTTCTTCTCTTAATTTTATTGTTTTCTTAATGTTTTTTCTCATAACATCTTGCTTTTGTTTCATGGATGCAGTATCTTCTATTATGTCTCTGAGGGTACTAATCACAGTGCTTAAGTTTTCTTCTGCTTTCTGACTTACGTCTGTTTCACCTTAGCTCAATTTTGTTTTTATTTTCGCCCCTTTTGTTTTAGAGGCTTTCCTAAAATATCTGCTGATCCTTTGTCATTTGTTCATATTTAAGAAGTACTAAAGTGCCAATTGAAAGTCCTGGGTATGTCAGAGAAGTCAAACTAGAGGCTTCATTATAGAGTAATTGAGTCATTAAGTAGCCCTTTCAGATGTCACTGGGGAGAAGTCCCAATGTCATTGTCAGCTTATCTATTTTCTTGGGTTAAACAGTCCCCCGAGAGAGGAATTCTCCCATTATGATGGTCACATAGAGGATAGAGAACAATAGAAGTTGGCTTGGAACTAGTGGGAAGTAGAGAGCCCAGTGGGCTGGGATCTCATAATTCAGTATGAAGACTTTTACTTGGTCACCCTATTTCAGTATGGTGCATCCCTGACTTCCCCACAGTGTCTTGTGCCCTCAAGTTCACCTTCTCTAGAGTTATGCTGTCCAACATGGTAGCCCCTAGCTACATGTGGCTAGTCCATTGGAATGTGCTATCAGTGTGAAGTACACTCTGGGTTTTGAAGACTTAGTATGAAAAAGAATGTAAAATATATTGTTAATAATTTTAATTTTTATGTCATGTTGACGTTATATTTTGGATATTTGGAGTTAAGGATAAATGTTATTAAAATTAATTTCACCTGTATCTTTTTACTTTTTACTGAGACTATGAGAAAATGTAAAATTATGTAAGTGGCTGACATTCTCTTTTTGTTGGACAGCGCTGCTCTCAGCTAGAAGGGTAGTGGTCCATCCATTTTTCAGAGATACTTTTCGTTGAGTTCTCCATTTTTTCAGGTCTGTCCCTCACACATTCACCTCTTCAGAGGACCCTGGTGTTTTCAGTTCCTGGGCTTTTCCTGGATTCTGTGGCATGAATGGTTTGCTTCTCCTTCACTTTCGTCTTCATGGGCTTAAGTTTCATCTTCCTTGGCTCTCTTAAATACTTATTTCCATCCACTTTCACATTCAGAATTTCCTTTTCTTGCCTACTGTGTTTCCTTTCTTTTTATTTTTGTTCTTTTAGTTTTATGCCTTTTCACAGTGCTTTACCATTATTTCGAAGGGTATTTAGTAGGAGCAGAGGTAAACATATGTGTTCATATTTAGTTAACTGGAAGTACGAAGTTGAACTTTGATGAAACGGAAATTTGATCGTATCACTGACTGCTTAAACTCTTTACTGTCTTCTCATTGCAGAAAGTGTGAAGTTCAGACCACTGTGGCGGTCATGACCACTTCTCTTAGTTTGCTTTTGCTGTGATTATGCCGCATGCAAACAAATGCCAATCTCAGTGGCTTAGAACAACAAAGGTTTATTTCTTGCTCATACCATGGTTTTGCTGCTAATTGGCTATGGCTCTACTCCAACTTAGTGGCTTCATCCATGTCATTTTTAAAAATTTATAAACTTTATTTTTTAGAGCAATTTTAGGTTTATTGAAAAATTGAGCAGAAAGTACAGAAAGTTCACATATTCCCCCCCTTTCCCACCTCCCCTCAATTCCTCAGCTTATTCCTCTTTTATTAACATCTTGCATCAGTGTGGCACATTTGTACAATTGATGAGCCAATTTTGATGTGTTATTATGGACTAAAGTCCATAGTTTACACTAGGGTTCACTCTTGTGTTGTAAATTCTTTGGGTTTTGACAAAGTGTGATGACATATATCCATCATTACAGTATCCCAGTACTTTTCCTGTGCAGTTTCTCTTCATCCCACCCTCCCTCCCTCACAACCCTTGACAACTACTGATCTTTTTATTGTCTGTCCATGCCTTTTCCATTCATGATTCCAGGCTGAAGATCAGCCCTATCTGGGAAATGCTGTTCTGGAGGTAGAGGAAAAGGGAAAGAGAGCTGGTTAGAACTGGAGTGGGTTACATTCCCTCGCAGTCAGTGGCATAAGCATGATGTCAATGGACAGGGAAGTAGCAAGTAGTGATGTGCAATTCTCTTAGGGTGGAAAGGTAAGCAAATAATGGAAACAATGACGTACCGGACCATGTAGCATCAGTGCTGACCTAGCCACTCAATTCTCCACTGATAACCACTCTATCCAGCTTTAATGAAATTTCTTTCTACACCGTACCTGTCTTTCTTATGTCTCTTCATTAAGCAAACTCCTTAACTGCTCAGGATACACCTTATTATACAAAGTCATTCTTGACTAGACTAATACTAACATACTCTGTATGTTGTGTTGGATATTTTTGCTTGCTTAGCTGAATCCTTTAAGCTGTTAGCAGAATTAAATAATTATGAAACATCTACTTATATGAATATTGCTTTTATTTTAAATTTTCATTTGACTTTAACCAAGGTCTTCATAGAAGAAAAATGACCTGCATACGTAAGAGTGATCATATGGTAGTATCTGATCAAAGATGTGACCATTTGCCACTTCCATTGTTTGTGACTGAAAGGTGCAATACAGACTGTGAACTAAGGTAAAAGAGATATAATGTATAATGTAACCAGATTAAAACTAATGAGTGAGCTAAGATGAAAACATCTGGCATGGTGCCTGACACAGAGTGGACCTGTAATTAAAACCCATTGCCTGACCCTGCCATTATAAAATTTCAGGCTCACTAATTTATGATGAAACTCAGTAATTGGTTTGAATTTTAATTCATACTGTTTGCTGAATGCCAGTATATAGACCTCAACATTTTGTGTAGGAAATGGAGGCAATTTTGTCTATAAAATAAATACAGGTAAATTCTAATCTGAAAATCAATAACTTAAACATCTGAAATAATAAATTTTTTAGCATGATTCTATAATTCCCATTGAATTAATGAATCAATAAATTTCTAAAGTTAGAGTATTGGAGAATAAATAGATTTTCATGCTCTATTGTCAGTTATTTTATCCTAGATCATGTCAGGGAAGTTTGCACTTCTAACCCAAATTTCTTGTCATTTGGGTTTTTTGTGTGTGTATGATTGGTCTTGGAGTGAAGCCAAGGACAATAATCCCATCTTTCAAATCTTTTTTGCATTGTAGCAGGTGACGTTTAATTTTCAGGGATAGCCAGAACCTCTTTCATTCAGCAAAGATGAGAATTTCTATACATTTATGATGTGTCTGAAGACATATAGTAAAAGCCTAGTGGTGGAGCTGCCTGTATAAGTTGCATCCACTGCCATTGCAGTGGAGTGAAGCACAGTGAAATCCTTGAGATGCTATTGGGGATGGAAATGAACTTTGTGCAATCTGTGCTTTGTTTTACTGGTGCACTCACATTGTCTGTTAGGTTGCTAGACAATTGAGATAATTTGGCTAAAACTAGCATTTTTTACTGATGGAAAAAACGTTTTCCCTGAAAACATGTCTAAATACAAATTACATGAATTAATTAGAAAGTGTGATATGCTTTACAAAACTAATTTATCAACTCTTAAAGGCATTACCTTTATTGATGTAGTCAGATTCCCAGACATTTCCTCCTCATATTAAAGTACTTTGGAGGGCTTCATTAGGGGAGACTACCTGTTTGGGAGTCAGATATATTCAGTTATAGTCTTAAATCTGCCAATAACTAATTGGGTAATCTTGGTCTAAACCAGTTGTCTTCCAAGGTTTTTGGGGAAGCTTGGGGTTCCTTGAACATAGCAGTCACCAAACGCCATGGTAAGGTCGATAAGTATAGTGCTGGCTCCCTGTCTCCAGCTTTAACCAGACTGGCTCCATTTTTATGGTGGCTTGTCCATCAAGTCTTAGAATTTTTAAAATTGCATCGTATACATGAGTTTCTCTGAATACATTTTTCAGTTGTGTTAATTAACAAATTGCATCATATACATGAGTTTCTCTGAATACATTTTTCAGTTGTGTTAATTAGCATGCTTCCTAAGTGTAATAACATCTTTTTTCCTAGGTGGCATATCATTGGCAAAAGTGAATGTTCATCACATTGTGGTCAAGGATATAGGACCTTGGATATCCACTGTATGAAGTATTCCATTCATAAAGGACACACTGTTCCAGTAGACGACCACTACTGTGGTGACCAACTTAAACCTACTACCCGAGAACCATGTCATGGTGACTGTGTCTTAACAAGATGGCATTATTCAGAGTGGTCCCAGGTACAATAAAAGTGATTGCTTAATAAAAAATATGTTTTCTAATAAAATATTTGTGTTACTCTACAGTATATATTGTTAAAAATGCGATTTTTTTCCATTATTCACATTTTTTCTTTTTCTAAATCAGTGTTCAAAGAGTTGTGGAGGAGGGGAAAAGTCTCGAGAATCATATTGTATAAATAACTTTGGCCACCGTGTTGCTGACAGAGAATGCCAAGAGCTTTCCCAAGTGACGATAGAGATCTGCAATGAATTTTCCTGTCCCACTTGGGCTACTAGTGAGTGGAGTGAGGTAACATTAAATACATGAGGATTAGAACTGTTATAATATGGTGTTAGGAAAGCTTTGCAACCAGAGACTTTATAAAATTCAAACATATTTTAATTTATTTTCTCATTTTGTAGATAACTATTATCAAGGTGATCAAAAATTTACAAATGGTTTGTCCTTAAACTTTACGGTATCTGGCTAGCAATAACATTAACTGATGGTTAATTTGTAACCATACTCATAAGAAAGTACCAGTGTCCACAGCAGCCTGTGATATACAGTCGGCTCTAGGCATCTGCAGATTTTACCTCCATAGGTTCAACTAACCACAGATTGTAAATATTCTAAAAATAAATAAGTAAATAAATAAATAATGACAATATAACAATAAAAAATAATGCAAATCAAAAATAATACAGTATAACAACTATTTACATAGCATTTACATTGTATGAGGTATTGTAAGTAATCTTGAGATGATTTAAAGAATATGGAGGATGTGTATAGATTATATGCAAATACTTTGTCACTTTTATATCAGGGACCAATTTTTATTTATACCAGTATTCATCAATTCTGGTATTCGGGGGGGGGGGGCCCGGGAACAAACCCCC